ACGTAAAGTTTGAAAGCTAATAACCAGAAAAAGTCTAACTTATTTTTACAAGGAGAAAGATTCAAAGTTATCATAATATCTTTGCGTGCGATCTTCCGAGATCTGTGGACACAGTGACGTCATGAGGAGGGAAATCGTGGCTTCAGCTCTAAGAGCGGAGTGAACTAGCCCTTCTATTCTCCTTAGCCCTGGAATGAGATAACTGATAACCCCCTCGAATATACATACATTAAAATACACCACTGAATCTCGAAACGCAGAAATTTTGTTTTAAAAGTATCACTGTATAAAACTACATTTATTATTACATAATAACATTCCTTTGCAATTCAATGTGTCTCTTAGATAATACAAAGAAAAATTTTTATCCTCTGCACAATCCCAAAAATATGGCCAGGTCACTCTTTCCCGTGCACCTGCAATTTCTGCCGTTTCTGTCGCAAGAACAACGGGTGCATTCATTGCAGCAATCCAAAACACTGCAGTCTTCATACTGGCGGGCACATTTTTGCCTGCAAATGTGAAAAACTATATTATTTTGCGAACAGAATACAAAATATAAAATAAGTAAGTAAAATAAGATAAAAGTTTTTACACATTTCATGAAAACACGAAATGAAAAAATAATATTCGTTAACCCTTAATATAGCCACTTTTTTCTAGTAATGTTAAAATATTTTTGGGACTTAGAATGATTTATGAAAAATAGAAGTTTTTAAGAGTAATAGAAAACAGTGCGCATGCGTCGTTATTGCATGCGCTGCTATTTGGCGACTGCTGATGTTTTTCTTTTCCATTTCACTTGCAGACATTTTTTATGTATTCAATAATTTAAAGTATTTTTATAATAATAAGAATGCCGGCCAGGTTGCCGAGCGGTTAGCGCGCCTGACAGCGAAGCCAATGGCCGCGGGTTCGAATCTCGCTCTGGGCATGGATGTTTCGCTCTCTTTTGTTGTCCTCTGTTGTGTGAGAATGTGGCCCACCCTATGAACCGGTTTGTGGCTGTGTGGTGTGGGCAATGTTACTCGCCTCTGTGACTTTGGTTCACAGGTGCCCACTTGGTAACGCGAAATGAGTAACACCTCTTGCATCTTATAAGGCGAAACGAATGAAGTTCAGTGCCTGCCATTCGGAAAAGAAAAAAATAATAATAATTTAACGTATTTTTTTATAATAATTTAAAGTATTTTTATATTATTAACGTATAAAGACTGTCTTGACGGTGATTTCAATATAAATATGAATACTGAAGAAGGAAAAGTATTGAAACACGTACATAGGCAGGATATATGAAAATCAATCCGACGACAAAACATCCATGGAAGACAGTTTTTGCAACCCATGATTTGAAATGTTTAACGGAGTCAATCCAGAAAGAAAAACCATTTGACCCATGGGCAACCAGTGATCGTAATAAGCCGATCGCAGCTTTTATTTTTTTCTTTCTCCAAACTATTTATTTATTTAACTCGGATTTGGTTTCATTCGATTCAGAATAAAAAGATATTCTAAAACAATCTCACATTTGTCTTCTAGATATTTAAGATATATAACAATTCTTAAAAATGTAAACAAGTAAAATAAAGTAAAGAATTTCTGCCCATTTTAGGCCAAGAGGAAAGGAAGGCCATTTAAGTTAAGGTGCCACTACTTATTGATCAACGTCAGAAATGCACTGTGGGCCAGAAGACCATGATCTTCGCCCAAAAGTCAAAAATTAAATTTTCGACTAAAATATGGGTAGGCAGTTTTAATATAGCCCAAATTAAGTGTTCACAATCATTCCAAACATTACAATTTACTTTTTGAACCGACGAGAGTGCAATGTAATGAAAAATATGTCAAAAAAAAATTTTAAATTTAAATTTTTAATTTTTATTTCAGAAATATATGTAAGAATTTCACCTTACTGTTACATTTTTATCAGAGTAATGAGTCTGAAATGATAGTACAATTTTTCAATGTGTTGGATTAGTTAATACTCTTGACAAACTTATAGTTTATATCAGGGTTCCCCAACCTTTTCGTTCCAAAGAGCAACTACCAGAATATCGGTCGAATGGCGGGCACCATTTATTTTTTCAAGATAATTTTAAAGTTGATAGACATAGGTAATAATGCACACTACATATAATGCACAAAAATTTAATTGAAAAAATTAATTTAACATATGAATATAATTAGTATTAATATTCTTGTGTAAAATAAATGATTACTAAATTGCTTTCAAAACATGCGAAGTATAAAAATTATTTATAAAATACAGTCAATGTGGTCTTTGGCATGGCATTTCACTGGCCAGCGCTTCATAATTGAGAGAATATGATGAAATTCCTGCTCGCAAGCTATCGTCAAGGTGTTCATCTGTAAGTCGGGATCTATATTTTGATTTTATGATATTCATAGTCAAAAACAATAATTCACACAAGTATGTGGAACCAAGAAACGACTTTATTTTATGAGCTGCTCTTTTTAAGAATGGAATTTATTCCTTCAACTATATTCCAGAATTTCTCATCTGATATAATAGTTTTGAGGATAATGTCATTCTGAAGAGCCACAATTTCTATCTCCACTTCGTCTCGCTTTACTTGAAGAAATTCCGAAATGTATGTTGCTATTACGATTACATTTTATTTGGTTTTTAAAAGGATTAACAAAAAATGTTATCAAAGGCTCGATGATATTTAATTGTTGAAAGCGCTTTTCAAAGCAATTGGAGGTTAATGACAAATGCTGATATGTCAATTTCACTGTTACCTATCATTTTTTTTTCATGTTTGGAAAATGCACAAAAGGCTTCATTTTTCAAATGTGATATTACAAAACTAGCTTAGCTCTGAACGAGTTTATAGCCTCTATCATTTTTGCTATATGTTTGTCCTTTCCCTGCAGCTCCAAGCTTAAATGATCTAGTTTTCCCATTATGTCCGTTACGGAAGACAAGTCTGCTAGCCAAAGAGGATCTCTTAGTTCTAAAAATAAAATGTTTGATTTTTTGACTGCAAGAAAATTTTTTATTTCTTCAATTAAAAGTAGAAATCTATCAAGTACTTTGTCTTTACTGAGCTAGTGTACTTCAGTATGTATTTGCATAGCATAAAATTTGCAAAGCATTTAATGGGAAAATGGAAAACTGAAATATTTTATTGTTGGGCACAAGCAGCGGGCGCACCTAGACCGATCGGCGGGCGCCTTGGTGCCCGCGGGCATAGAGTTGGGGATCCCTGGTTTATATCTTATCATTTGACATTTTGCAATGTTTGAATGACTTTCGAAACTTAGTTCCACGAGGTAATTAGCTAAACTTTTTTTGTTGTCTTCTTTGATGTTTCTTCTTGCGAAAAAACCTGCCCCATTTTGCCCGTATAGCAAAGGTGGACTAAATATACCGAAAAACAAATATTATGTTTCTTTCTTCATGTTTTCGCGTTATTTTGTAATTAATTCGCGCTATTTTGTAATATTAATTCGGAAATATAATTTGCCTTTCATTTTTAATATAAAATTACGAAAATTATTATATTTTCATTGCTACATTTAATTATTTAAGCGTACTATATTATTATTTTTTATTTTTGCTCGCCCTATTTCAGCAGCCATTTTTTTTGGGGGGGGGGGAGTATTTTTAGTGTATTTCAAAATTTCAACTATGAATTCAATTTACCTGAACATAAAAACCCCGAATTTTGAAACAAATTTCATCGAAGTACTAATTTTGGCCACGAAACCTTGGATGCTGGCCCACTGTGAAATGGGGCAATGTGGTCAGCATTGAGTACCGACCGCCGTTACTTCACAGATTAGCTGCTACCCATAAATTTGAATCTGGTACCAAAAAGAATACTTTTTTATTATATTACTTTGGAAATGAGACTTCATTCGGCAAATTTCAGATGCCTAATAGATTAAACACTGTGACATAAAAACCATTATGACTTCTATATCCAAACGTTTTCGATTTTCCTTTAATTTGATTCAGTGTAAAAATACATCGCAAACAATGCCCCATTTCAGTAGTCGGAAGAACTACATTGTTTTTGTACTTTACTGCAACTACTTTGTTGCAAACTGCAACTTTTTTTTAAAAATATAGTGAAACTATTTCAAATTTCGAAAACTATTTTCTAAACTATTTTCGAAATGTAGCTACTACTATTGCTCCTTTAAGGAGACAAACTTTGCTGGAGAAATGTTTTTTTTTTTGTTTAAATGGTTTTGAATAAGTAATTGGCTTATATTAAGCATGAAGAATTATTTAGAAATATTTATTTATTTATGTTTACATAAACATAAAATTATTGTTGCTGTTGTTTTGTATGCCTGTTAAAGCAGAGGAGTGCGATTGGTCTTGTTTTCCAGTGGCGCCATCTATGGCCAAGAATTCGACTTCTGCCACATCCATACGTCACACCCGTTTATAGGGCGGACCCATTCATACATCCATTCATTCTTCCACAGATCGTAATTTTGACCTGAATCAGAGAACGATCAATCTCCAATTCAGTACCCCCATAGGTATTGATTTGCTATGGGAACATGGAGGACTTTGCGACTCGACATATTTAAAGTGCATTAGTCACCATTTACTACATGGGGGTTTTTCACGAACTCGGGGACATGGGGCCCAGTGCCCTACTGACCAGGCTATCTCGGCCTCATAAAAATATTGTATTTTATAAGTTACAAGGTTTGCATAGAATTCTTTTTTTTCAAATGTCAGCTTCAAAATTCAGTCAAGTTTACATTTAAATTACAAACAAATTTTTAGAGTTTAGACAATTTGTAAATGAGTGATCATTTTTTACTTTCGTGTGATTGACGTCCGACACAACAAAATTTAATTTTAACTCATAATAATAAGTTTTTATTGTTTTTTGATAGGTTATGATGTACTCAATTTTTGATTATAAAAATTTTATGACTGGAAACTTATGTTTCATGGGAGAGTTTGTCGCAGAAATTTATTTGAATTTTTTACGTCCGGCACCGCGGAATTGACCAGTTTTAAAAACAATTAACTAATCAAAACTAAGAAACCATTTGATTATATTGAAATTCACTCAAAATTTTAATTTCAAATAAGAAAAAAAAAACATAATTTATCTAAACTAAGAAACCATGTGATTATATACGAATTATTTCAATATTTTAATTTCAAATAAGAAAAAAATATAATTTATCTAAACTAAGAAATCATGTGGTTATATTCGAATTCTTTCAATATTTTAATTTCAAATAGGAAAAAAAAGCAATAAAATGTAAAGAATTTTATCTAGTTTTTTTCTTCTTCTATAGAATATGTAACAAGAATTTTGGCAATTTTTCATTTGCGTTATTCATTTCTGAATACTGAATTTCTCTTAAAATAATAATTTTATTGAAATGTAAATAAATATAAAAATTTATTGATGTATAATCACCTGGAATTATTTTCTTTTATTTACTGAAGATATATTAAACAGTACTTTTGCAAGATGTTTTGGCCCTGTATTTGCCATTTGGTACACTTTATGCAAAAAACAACTTCTCTTACCAATATTTATTTTTTTTGAAGAAAAAAATAATTCAAAAAATCAACATTTTTTTTTATTTCATTAATAAATACAGGGGACTGAAACAAAACATAATACACACGTTCTAAGTTGAAATTTTAATTTTTTTCATGCGTAAAAAAATATTTAATTTACCATCAGTTTACTATTCCAAATTATCTCGGGCAAATGAAAAAAGTTGAATATCAGTCTTTGTATATGTTCACATCTTCATCATCTGCATTACTTTTTACTTTCACGAACGCCATTTTTTTTACTCTTTTTTTTTATGTAAATTCCTCAACCATCGTATGTAGTACAATTGCACCAAACACGTCTGCAGTCCCACAAATAGCAAAACTCCCAAACAAACATCCAATCACAGAAGATAATTATTATTTTTCGTTTTACTTCCGGCCGAATAAAAACGCAAAACTGACAAATTCTGCTATGCCCGAGTTTATTCGGGATAATAAATATTTGCATACCCGAGTTAACTCGGGATAATCCGGGAAGCGGTTAAAGTATTACATTAAAAAAAAAACTTATTGAATGGAAACAATATATTCTACCTGCTAAAAATATTATTTTTTTCAACATCTATCTTAATTTGTTTTAAATTAATGTTGTACCAAGGCATCAACAATTTAAAAAATACAAACTATTAGCATCTATCAGTTTGTACAGTAGGGAACCGATTACCCGGCTATTACCATCGCTATTCCGGTTAACTGATTTTTCCGGTTTTCTGAATCGCTACAAAAAGCCGTTTTTTTATTGTTAAACCCTACTAAAAAATATATTTGGAAATAATCTTAAACAAAAAGAAAAAAAGATGAAGTAATACACTAATCATAATTTCCAAAATGATGGTAAGGTAAACATCTTTCAAAAAAGAAAGAAAAATCCTAAAGGAAAAAAAAAAAAATTTTTTTTAAATGGCGGGAAAATTTACCGAATTTCGTTCCGGTTTTTTGGTTTTCCGGTTTTCTGATTTCCGGATAACGAGTTCTGTACTGTATTTAAAAAATACAACCTATTAATTCCATATAGCAAAAATACTATTTTTGCTATATAGAACTATTATCAAGATATGAACTCAAATTTGGTTTCTTCAGAGCATTACAAAATTTTACTTTAAACAATGTTTATGAGATTGCACCAAACATAGTAAATGAAATATATGTGTACCTCACATTTGGTTTGAATATTTTATCATCTTCCTCGTCTAGAAGGGTGTGTTTTTCCTCTGGGCCTAATTGACCTGAAAATAAAATTGTACAATTTTTAGACACCAATGTTATAACTATTTAGTCATTATACAGTGTCTGGCCAAATTATTCTATAATATTCTATGTAAAATCTTAATTATCAGGTGATACTCTATACAGCTTTATTGTTTTTACGTGACTGTTTGTACTTGTTTACGTTCGTGTATCAATGGGTTAACATTGCAATGCAATACGTTAAAAATAAATACAAATGGGAAGTATATAAAAAATCTCCTAAATTAAAACCCATTACATGGTTGTTTAAATATATGAGTATTGCCTCGTGCAAAACATGCAATTATTAAAACACTACAGTGCTTCTAATAGTTTGGTCTAATCATTAAAATATACTAATGTAATACCTGATATAATAAATATTTATATGATATTTCGTCTAATGTATCCAGTTATCGAAATTATATAACTTCTAAATTCACCAATTCATAGACGAACGTAAACAAGTGCAAACCGCGTAAAAACAATAGAGCTGTATAGAGCATCACCTGATAATTAAGATTTTACATAGAATCGTATAGTGCATCTAATACTTTGGCCATGTACAATATATGTTTGCCCAATGAATTTATTTGCATATGTACAATGTATGTATGCGCAGATCGCAAAACAACGGACCACCCTGAATAACTTTTGATCTAACAATCGGATTTATAGGACACAATCTAAATAGTTAGAGGGGGTGACCTCAAATATGCTAATTTATAAGTGAGCACGATATTTTAAGTTACGAAATTAAACACATAAACGTAATTTTTATGAATAAACTTTTGCACAGATATCGATTTTTATCACGAAGAATGCAGAGGAATCTAAGAAATATGGTCCCAATAGTTCTGTCAGGAAAGTGGTTCCAAATTTGGAACCGTTTGTTTCATTTTTTTTGCGTATTTCGCTATATTTCGAGAATTTTTTTAAACGAATTGAACATTTTTAGCTCACAGTAATAAAATTCGTCTATTCAAAGATAATTCCTTGCAAAGAAATAACTTTCACCAAATATTTATAACTTTTTATTATTTTATTTAATAATCGTAAAAGAAAAAATTTAATTGTAAGGTATGCAATTTTTTGCATCATTTTAAAGAATGTAATTTTACATTGAAATATGCGAAATTTGAGCAAAATCGGTTATGCTTTTCATGAGAAATCAAATTTTAAATATACGAAATTTTTAAAAAATTTGAAATCTCAGGAACTGTTTGACCGATTCGGCTCAAATTTTGTAATTTGCCATTTAAAAATGCGGTCTTTAAAATGACGTCAAAGATTCCAAACCTTACATTTTAACAGCTTTTCGACTATTATTAAGTAAAATAACAGGCAAGTATAAATAATTGGTCTTTTGCGTGGAATTTTCTTCGAATTTTATAATTTTGAGCAAACACTTTTCAATTCGTTTAAAAATTTCTCGATTTATGGCAAAATACGCAAAAAATAAAATTAACATTAAGGAGTCCAAACTTTAAATTTTAAAAATAAAATGAACAAAAATCTATATTTTGGTGGTCAGAAATTCGAAACCGTCGGGAAATAAATATGTTTATTCAAAGAAAGTATATTTCTGTGTATGATTTCGTAACTTAAAATATTGTCTTCTCTAATTAATTAGCATAATTGAGGTCTCCCCCTAGAAACGTTAGGATTAAGTCATAGAACGTAAAGATCAGATCATTAGATCAAAAGTTATTTAGGGTTGTCAGTTTATTTTTTGCGCACTGTACTACATAGATTACCCTGCTATAATAGAAGAGACATTTATTTTGATATTTTTTTTGAATTTCTCAAAGATTACTTAGAGGACTATTTCGTAAAATTAAAACTATTTAGATCATTTAGATGCGATTTATCACACTTTTCAATAAGGTCTGAAGTTTACGTGGGTTTTAGGGACCGACAATAAATTACAAAAGAAAACAAATATTTTTAAACACCCTATGCCAAAAAATCGAGCAATAAGTTTGTAACTTGTATCGATAACATTGTTTGTTATTTACAATGACTTCATAAAATATCGTTTATCTAGCTTAAATATTGAAGAAGATATTAATATTTTTATTAAAAAAAATTAAATAAAAAGTAGTATTTTTGAAAACTACGTTTTTGTAGTGGAGAATAATAATTGAAAAACAAAAATTTGAAAAACGAAAAACGTTGGGAGCATGAAATACATAACAGTAATGTTATATTAGTGTGTCTATGTGTGCTCATGAGAATATGTGTATGTATATGTATATCTGTAATTGTAATTGTATCTGAATGTGGATGTATATGTGGACTATGTTTGTGTATATGCATGTGTATGAGGATGTGTATGTGGCTGTGCAAGTGTATGAGTAAGAATATGTGTACATGTATGTGTGTCTGTACTGTTATGTATTTCATGTGCACCACGTTTTTCGTTTTTCAAATTTATGCTTTTTAATTACTATTCTCCACTACAAAAACGTGGTTTTCAAAAATATTACTTTTTATTTTAATTTTTTTTTTTTGTACTCACTTCCAAAATCTCAATTTTTTCACTCACTGTACACAAAACTTTTCAACTGATATGTGACACTCATTTGAAATAATCGAATCGGCAACAAAAGACAATCGCGAAAATACTAATTTTTCCTTATTTTTATTTTACTTTGTATGTCTTCTTCCTCTTCATTTTCATGCATTGTCATCCAATTCTGAACTATGTGCCAAATTTGAAGTCTGTAGCTAGTCGGGAAGTTAGTTTAAAATCGATTGCGAAATTCCAACTGAACAGACATAAACGGAGGTAAATTGATATAAACCTGCTAAAAAACTAATTTTTTTGTCTTGATTTTTTTTTTTTTTTTTGCTATAACTTTAAAATTATTCAGTAAAATTTAACAAACGTTTCGGAGCAATTTGAAAACTAATAACAAAATTAATGTTTTAAAATTTGAATTTTTTATTTTAAAAAAAATTGCGCAAAATATAAGTGTTTGAAAGTATTTCTTTTGTACTGCTCATGTGCAGAAAAATTTTAACCTATTTTTTTTCATATGCAGTTAATAGTGTTTGGCAACTAATGGAAAAAATCTAATTTAAATATCTTAAAAATTTTAAAAGTTTCACACAATTTTCAAAGTAGTTTTTGTACTTTTCAAAAGAAAACTAAAAATTATCAGGTTATTTTTCACTAATTGTATTAAGTAGTATTGCAAATTACACTACCTTATAATGACTGGACAAGAAGAACAAAATTAAATATGTGGATAATCCCTTATTGTTTTAACTTTCTTTTAAAAAGTACGAAGAATACTTAGAGGGGTTATTCACATATAAGGGGTATTATATAATATATACTATTCGGGGTTATCCACATATTTAATTTTCCGTTTGTAGTTCAGTCATAATATGGTAGTGTAATTTGCAATACTACTTAAGTCCTACAGTGGACTGATCGTTAAGACGGTTCCCAGCAGATCGCCGAAGTCAAGCATTACTGGATGCGGTCAGTGTGCAGATGGGTAACCACTTGGATCAGTCTGCGTCGAGACCGAGAATGTGCGGTAACATCATTAAACTGTTCTACCGTCGACTTCGCGTGCTGGTCGTCGGGCTACTGAAGCAGGGATGCCATCCCCTCTACAATTGCGATCAAAATTGCGATGTCATGTGTGCGGATCATCCTCAGGGATGTTTCCCAGACCGTCGCCAATAGCCCATTGTGCAGCTCTAGTGCGATGTAAATGAACTACAACTGCAATACTACTTAATACAATTTGTGAAAAAACCCTGATTATTTTTAGTTTAAATAACTAAGTACAAAAACTAAGTGAATTGCTTGAAACTTTTTACGTTAAGATATTATTTAAATTAAATTGTTTCTATTAGTTGCCAAATACGATTCACTATAGAATTATGAAAAAAATAATTATAAATTTTTCCGCGCATGCGCAGTACAAAAAAACTATTTAAAAATACTCATACTCTTGCGCGTTTTTAAACGTTTTTTTTTTTTTTTAATTTTAAAACTATAATTTTGTAATTTATTTGAAATTTTGTTTAGTTTGACTGAATATTTTTAAAGTTATTGCAAAATAAAAAATAATTAATAATTTTAATAATAATTTATAATTAATTAATAGTTATTAATTATTATTATTAATTAATAATAATTTTAAAGTTATTGCAAAATAAAAAGTTATTGCAAAATAAAATGCATTAAATTTAATGAATGAATTAATATTTGAGAAAAACTGTATCCAGTGTCATTCACTACAAGTTTAAAAAAAATGTATTTGAAGTTGAGTGCATGAATAAAAGGTATTTTATTAACGATTGAACACTTGAACAATATATACGAAGAGTGTGAACTAATAGTAAGAATAAAAAAAAAATAAAAAAAAAATTTAATCACAAAAAGGGAGCGAAATATCCGAAAAATATAGTTTTAACTCTTAAATCTAAAAATGAAAAGAGCAGTTTTTTAGCAAAAAAAATTTTAAAAAATTGGCCAATGGTAAAGTTTTTAATTTAGACGTCTCCTTACTTGCATCGTCTGCCTTTACTATATATGCCACATAACCCATAAACAGCAAGACTATCACCAGTGCTTTCATTCTGAAAAGAGAATAAAAATTGTTAATTGTTAAAAATTGTTACACAACTCTTTCAACTGAGCACCCGTTTTACTAGACTTTATTAATATAAAAAAAATATGAAAATGTTAACAAAGTTCGACACGTTCCAAGCGCTTAAAAATAGGCACCCTTTCTCAAGACTTGCTTGGCATGAATGAGGGAAATAAAAAGGATTTGAAGCTTAGCCACTTACCTTACCAATTAGTTTGAAAAAAAAATTTTAAAAAATCAAAATTTTTTTCATTAATAAATACAAGGAACTAAAACAAAACATGAGTTTTAAGTTGAAATTTGAATTTTTTAATGTGTAAGAAACCTTTAATTTAAAATCAATTTATTATCTCGAGTTATTTCGGGCAAATAAGAAAAGTTAAATATTAGTCATTGTATGTTAGTTTTTAAAACAAGGGACAACATAAAATGGTACTTTTCAAACGTCAGTGAAGGGTTATGCCATTTTTTTTTACTCATATTGTTATGTCAATTCAGCAACCATCGTTGCACAATTCAGCAACTATCGTTGTGTTTTGTGCAATTGCACAAAACACAGTTCCACTCTCCAACAGCATAACTCTCAAATAAAACTTGGCAAACTTCCAATCACAGTAGATTATGTTTTCTGTTTCCGACCGAGTGAAAAGGTGATAAAACAAAATGTACTGACAAATTCTACTAAGCCCGAGTTTTCTCGGGATGATAAATATTTGCAATATATACATACCCGAGTTAACTCGGCATAATCAGGAAAAGCGGTTAAAACGTAAAGTTGTCCCGCAGTGGACTGATCATTAAAACACCCACAAGATTACCGAAGTCAAGCATCACTGGCTGCGGTCAGTGTGCGGGTGGGTGACCACTTGAATCAGTCTGCGTAGGGACCGAGGGTGTGCGGTAGGGGTTAAACTGCTCTACCGTAAAGTGCTCGACTTCGCGTGCAGGTCGTCGGGCTACCCAAGAGGGTGTGCCATCCCTTCTGCAGAGGATCAAAATTGATGGCATGTCTTCGGATCATCCTCAGCGATGTTTCCCAGACCGTCGACAATAGCCCATTGTGCAGCTCTAGTGCGACGTAAATGAACTACAACATCAAAACGTGAAGTTGCCAACGAAAAAAAGGTAAATAAAGGTGAAAAACAAAACTTTAAAAACTGTTGGGGCCGGGAGAGAGACAAATCATTGTAAATGCGATGCTGTGAAAAGGTGGTCACGTTTTTGTTTTCTCCATTCACGACCTGTCAAGTCTTGAGAATGGGAGCCTATTTATGAGTGTTTGAAACACGCCATTATCATTTTCATGTTTTCTTCAAGCCAATGGCGCTTGTAATAAAGTACATCTTTCAGTTTCTTGCTAATATTTATTTAGTGTTACCCGACAAACATCTTACCTGTAACCACACATTTAATAATTTAATTTAAATCAACAGTTGTTTTCGATGCTGTATTTAAGCTCCCTTCAGTACTTAAGAAATCATTGATTCGTGGAATGTCTTTAAACTAACTCCAAGCAAAGAAATCACGTGGCCTTTAGTCCGAGGAACATGATGGCCGTGTGATTGAGGTAAATGACTCTTGTCAATCCAAGGACACAATGTGCGACCTTAATAACCAGATAAACATTATTAGCCTCAGGAACCCAGTACTCTCAAAACTCAACTTTCACCAGTAGAAATATGTTAAAACACACATTCCTACTGAAAGCACATATAAAATTATCAACCCACTTGAATATGTAGACATCGAAAACAACTTGACTGTGAGGAACTTAAGGAAAAAGGACAGTATCGAGGCAGAGCTGAGGGAAACTGCGTTGCAAATGATCTGCGAAAAATACCCGGAAAGCGACTGGCTACATGGCCGACGGATCTCAGATACAAGATAGATCTGGAGCTGGTGTTTTTTGTAAACTATTTCCCCAAGGCGCCTCCGTGGGTCATTATATGACCGATTTTGATGCAGAGATCCAAGCAATTTATCTAGCATTACAGAACCTAAAAACAAGATCTGATGAGTTCCTAAGGGTGGTTCTATTGGTAGACTCCATTTCTGCAATTCAAGCAATCACAGAAAACCAATGTTTTAAAACTAAGCTGTTAAACGAAATTCAGCTCGATCAGCTCCTCAAGGAAATGAGTATAGTTATACTGTGGATCTCTTCACATATTGGTATCGAAGGCAATGAGAACGCAGAATATCTGGCAAAAAAAAACTATGCCTCAAGAAATAACAACCGTCACACCTGATACTCTTAATAAATGCGTTATGAAAAAACCGAACGAAATAAATAATGATGATTTAACTATAAAATCAAAAGGGAAAATATTCAAGACAATTGGAAATTTCTCTGTTACCAACCCCGTAAGGAAGCAGTAACCCATTTTAGGCTTAAAACAGGCCACGATTGCTTATCAGAACATTTATATAACATAAAAATTCTTCCCTGCAAAGCATGCCCAATTTGTGACACAGGTGTATTAAACTCTGATCATCTCTTGTTGTGTAAGGGACTAGATAGGAACTCCCAGAAAAGTGGGAATGTCACTAAATTGTATTGAGGCGCAAGAACTCTCATGAATTGTCACTAACTTTACCTTTTTCATGTTAATGTTTAATATTTTATATCGTTGAAATGTTTATTGATTCGAATGTTTATTGTTCTTTTTTGTTCACTTTACCTAAATTGTTGAATTGTTTTTTTGTTATTTTTCTGCTCCTTTGTGATGCAGTGAGCTGTCAAATTTTTTGGATTGAATTCCTAATAAAGCCATATGAAATACACATACATTATTAGCCCTCCGCTATTTCAATTCCTTTTTTCTTTTCTTTTTTTTGGGGGGGGGGGTACATTTTTCTGTTGTTTAAGAGAGTAATATTTTACAAAAATAAATAAATAAATAAATAAATAAATAAAAGTTTTAAAAAAGTCAAATATTTAAAAATTCGATTTCTCAGAAACTATTCGACTGACTTCATTCAAATTTCGTATTTTGTCAATTGCATTTTATTAAATGATGTTAAAATTTGTATACGTTACAATTCATAATTGTTTTGATTACTATTAATTAAAATATTAGAAGAAAAAAAATTAGAAAAAAAAACAAAACAAAATCAGCAAAAAAAGTTGTGATCCTCTTATTGCGATCATCGGTTGCCCATGGGTCAAATGGTTTTTCTTTCTGGATTGACTCCGTTAAACATTTCAAATCATGGGTTGCAAAAACTGTCTTCCATTGATGTTTTGTCGTCTGATTGATTTTCATATCTCCTGTCTATGTACGTGTTTCAATACTTTTCCTTCTTCATCATTCATATTTATATTGAAATCGCCGTCAAGACAGTCATTATACGTTAATAATAAAAAAGAATATAAAAATACTTTAAATTATAATTATGTAAATACATTAAAAACACCTGCCATTTTTTAGTGAAAATAAGAAGAAAAACAGCAGCGGTCGTCATAACAACGCATGCAATGACGACGCATGCGCACTGTTTACTATTACTTGAACACAATTGAAAAGTATGGACGCCATCAAATCCAAACCAAGACCCATTTTGCCAATGGATAATCAATGACATTTTTATTTATCACAGAAAACATTGTTTCCTTCCTACTATTTTAACTATTTATCACAGAAAACATTGTTTCCTTCCTACTATTTTAACTATTTATCACAGAAAACATTGTTTCCTTCCTACTATTTTAACTATTTATCACAGAAAACATTGTTTCCTTCCTACTATTTTAACTATTTATCACAGAAAACATTGTTTCCTTCCTACTATTTTAACTATTTATCACAGAAAACATTGTTTCCTTCCTACTATTTTAACTATTTATCACAGAAAACATTGTTTCCTTCCTACTATTTTAACTATTTATCACAGTAAACATTGTTTCCTTCCTACTATTTTAACTATTTATCACAGTAAACATTGTTTCATTCCTACTATTCTAACTATTTATCACAGTAAACATTGTTTCCTTCCTACTATTTTAACTATTTATTTTTATAATACAATACCTGGGCAATCATCGACTAACAAAATAAAAACGTTACCGCAATTTTTATGAATTCCAAAGAAGAGTTCATCTTTAGTTGATAACTGATAGTCAAACATTCCAACCATTCAGAAAGCTACGTAATTCACCTACGTAGAGCTACGTAATTCATTCAACGAACCAAAAGTAGTCTACTCTAGATATTTTAAATAAAAACTCGAGTAGTTGTTCAGAATAAAAGAAGCATAGTCTATTTCATTTTGTAGTCTGTTAATGCTATTTTTATATTAAATGCGTGTATTTTACTTTATTTTTTTTATAACCATCGTTGAACAACCAACCCAATTTTGGGTTTACGACTACTAATGTTCAACTCCATAGCCTTGTCATTTTTGAACCCTATCCAGAAGACAAGGAAACTCCTGGACCAAGTATTGGGAGAAATTTGCTTTCGTGGAGGGTTTTTTGATGGAACTAAACCGCATTTGCGTTACACGGCGGGGAAAACCGGTTAGCCTGATGGTAAGGGGATTCTAACCCATGATCCGCCTACCACCAAGGATATTTTACGTCAGCACTGTGGTCGGTGCAAGCCGAATGCGGAATTCTTATCGACCTGCCATCGCTGGGATTTGAACCCGGTTCTCCTCATTAGAAGGCGAACGCTCTATCCCTTGAGCCACCACCGCTCAAAAAACGTGTGTATTTGGGAAAATTTACAATTTCATCTGCTGTTATGAATTGTCGTTTATAACAGACTTTTACTAAAATAAAACTCCAGTCATTTTTTGCGTGCTAATCCTGCATTGTACAAAATGTTTTCAAAGATATAAGATTTTACGTCAAACCTTAATTATCACGTGATACTCTATACAGCATTGTTGTTTTTACGCTGCTGAAAGCGGTTTACACTTGCTTATGTTCGTGTATCAATTAGTTAACATTGTAATGCAGTACGTTAAAAATAACTACAAATGAGAAGTACGTAAAAAATCTCTTAAATTAAAACCCATTACATGTGTGTTTAAATATAAAAGTATTGCCTATAAACTCGTGCAAAACATGCAATTATTAAAACACTACAATGCGTCTCCTCATTTGATCTAATTATTATAATAGACTAATATAATGCTCGATATAATAAATATTCTATATTTATATTATACATCGTTCTTATGTATCCAATTGTCGAAATTATGTTATATATTGTCTCATTCAACCCATTGATACAGGAACATAAACAAGTACAAACCGGTTTCAGTCGCACAAAAACAGTAAAGCTGTATAGTATCACCTGATAGTTAAGATTTGACATAGAGTTTTATGGTGAGTCTAATAATTTAACCAAAGACTGTATTTTAATTATTTTAAACCTGCTGAAAATTATGAATTTAGGTAACTCAGTATTTTAGTAATTTAAATATTCTGCAGAGTCAGGTCTGTACAATTTAATTTTTTCAACAAGAAGAACCGGAAGTGATTTAACTTTAAACTCCGAAAATATTTTATACCCAGTCTACTTTAAAGGTCAGAATTGTATGATATCTGAATAGTTTGTACACTGGCCTAGGGAAGGAAGAAAAAAAAAACATTCCGGATAACTTTCGATTTTATGATCGGATTAGAACGTGCAAAGACTCCATGTTATTAGTCTGGGGAGCTCATTAGGCTAATTAATTATTGCTCACAACGATATTTTAAGTTACGAAATCAGTCACAAAAACGTATTTTCTCTGAATAAACATGACTCCCCCCCCAAAGGATTCAGATTCTTACTCCTAAAGGAAGGAAGCTCCCCTTCTCTTGAGGGGGAGCCGAAATCTGCAAAATAGGGTACCAATAGTTTGTTCAGGAGAAACTCATAAGTTCGGACCCCTTAATGTTAATCTTGCGTATTTCACCATTTCTCAGTAACAGTTTTAAAATGAATCGAAAAGTTTTTGCACACAATTTTAAAAACTGTTTTTCCAAAAAAAATTTCATGCGAAATAGAATTTTTAATACAGTCAAACCCCGCTATAGTGAACATGGTTTATAGTGAACTCCCGGATATAGTGAACGAATATAGTGAACGCTCTCTTGCCTTGCTAAACGCATATAATATTATTTTCTGTGGATATAATGAACCAAAAGAAGAAAGGAAATTGGATATTATGAACTTTTTTCTGTCTTCGAGTGATTTTGTTCCGAGGAACCACAGGGTTCTGCGAAAGGGTTACAGCGGTTCCGATAGTTTGGATTTTTTTTCAAACAGTAATGTTTTACGAAACTTGCAATTAAATTTATATCCAATTGATAATCCTATATTTATTTAATATTTTCGTTAATTTCACAAAATTATTGAATGCTTGTGAAGAAAAAAATCTTAGAATGTTTTTTTTTTCCAATAACAATGTGATAAATTAATTTTGAAAAAGATATTCGTTTACGAAAAATTCCGTTTATAATTCAAATCGAATAAAAAAATACCCAAATTAAACAAAGGAGTATGTTTCTCAGATAACCATTCGCAACGATTATAATTATTTTCTTACTTTTTTTCTGTTTTTATGATTATGTAAACTATATTTCAGCTCATACTAATTTTCTGTTAATGCATGAATTAAAATCAAATTAAGAACCCGACTCCATACCTTTCTAGATGTGCGAAGTCAACTGTCTGACATAAAAACCAATCTTAAGACTAATATTGATAAAAAGATCAGATGAACAAATTTATTCTTCACTCATTCACTAAATACAGTCAAACCCCGCTTTAGTGAACATGGTTTATAGTCAACTCCCGGATATAGTGAACGAAATGTTCGCTCCCGTGCCGTGCCATACACATATAATATTATTTTTTGTGGATATAGTGAACCAAAAAAAAGAGAGGAAATTGGATATTATGAATTTTTTTCTGTCTTCGACTGATTTTTTTTTCTTCGTCACTGTTTGTAATTTTTTAATTTATACATAAAATACATATACCGATTTTTAAAACCAGGGAGGGGAAAGTTTGAGGGGAATGTAGCCGTAAGCATTTTATTCTTGTTTCTCAATTTCACGTCCCTAAATAAAGGCCATCCGTAAATTTTTTGTACGCAAGACGAAGAGTAATAAAAAATATAAATTAACACATTTTTTGCTACTTTATATTGTTTTTTTAAATTCATTTTTGTATTTTTTTATTGCTTATTTATTTAAATAATGTGTCATAAAACGGAGCAGTTCGGAAAAATTTAGTTAAAATTGTTTGCGGTACGGATATAGTGAAGTCGCGGTTATAGTGAACAGAAATTTCGGTGCCTTGAAGGTTCACTATATTGAGATTTGACTGTAGTTACTTATTGTTTTTATTATTTTATTTAATAATAGTCAAGAAAATTTTGAGTTGAAAGATATGCAATTTTTTTACACCATTTAAAAAATTCTAAATATAAATGACAAAATACAAATTTTGAGGGAAATTCAGTCGAATAGTTCTTGAGGAATCAAATTTTAAATATCTGACTGTTTCAAAATTGAATAAACCCGATAAGTGTTTGAAGAAGAAGAGATAGAATTTAAATATAAATGGCAAAATACGAATTTTGAAGAAAATCGTTCGAATAGTTCTTGGGTAATCAAATTTCAAATATCTGACTGTTTCAAAATTGAATAAACCCGATAAGTGTTTGAAGAAGAAGAGATAGAATTTAAATATAAATGGCAAAATACGAATTTTGAAGAAAATCGTTCGAATAGTTCTTGGGTAATCAAATTTCAAATATCTGACTGTTTCAAAATTGAATAAACCCGATAAGTGTTTGAAGAAGAAGAGATAGAATTTAAATATAAATGGCAAAATACGAATTTTGAAGAAAATCGTTCGAATAGTTCTTGGGTAATCAAATTTCAAATATCTGACTGTTTCAAAATTGAATAAACCCGATAAGTGTTTGAAGAAGAAGAGATAGAATTTAAATATAAATGGCAAAATACGAATTTTGAAGAAAATCGTTCGAATAGTTCTTGGGTAATCAAATTTCAAATATCTGACTGTTTCAAAATTGAATAAACCCGATAAGTGTTTGAAGAAGAAGAGATAGAATTTAAATATAAATGGCAAAATACGAATTTTGAAGAAAATCGTTCGAATAGTTCTTGGGTAATCAAATTTCAAATATCTGACTGTTTCAAAATTGAATAAACCCGATAAGTGTTTGAAGAAGAAGAGATAGAATTTAAATATAAATGGCAAAATACGAATTTTGAAGAAAATCGTTCGAATAGTTCTTGGGTAATCAAATTTCAAATATCTGACTGTTTCAAAATTGAATAAACCCGATAAGTGTTTGAAGAAGAAGAGATAGAATTTAAATATAAATGGCAAAATACGAATTTTGAAGAAAATCGTTCGAATAGTTCTTGAGTAATCAAATTTCAAATATCTGACTCTGTCAAAATTGAATAAACCTGATAATTGTTTGAAGAAGAAGAAATGGAATTTAAATAAAAATGGCAAAATACGAATTTTGAAGAAAATCGTTCGAATAGTTCTTGAGTAATCAAATTTCAAATATCTGACTCTGTCAAAATTGAATAAACCCGATAATTGTTTGAAGAAGAAGAAATGGAATTTATATAAAAATGGCAAAATACAAATTTTGAAGGAAATTGTTTGTACATTTCTGCAGTAATTAAACTTTTTCTTCAAAATTGAATAAAACAGATAATTTTTTGAAGAAGAAACTGAAGACAAACTACGATTCTTCTAAAATATTTCGTTCACTTTAATGTATAATAGTTAAACTTTTGTACATACCTTAATATTTGATTCGAATAAACTTCTTCGGGTTAGTGTTAACTAATGCTGCGTGTGTTCACTTTTGTTGTTCGTAGCAGAACTGAATATTAAAGATGAATATCGGCGGGCAATTGCGAAATGGACAGGTTATTAGAACAACGTGATTGAATTTATAATTTCGTTGCTGGACATAATTTAATGGAGAGTAAAAATAATTTTTTTTTTAACCTGATTTTAAAAGTTAGCACACGTGCGATGGCAGCAGGTGGAAGATGAAGTCGATCACTATTTTTATTATAATCTGGAACACCCTGACCTAAAAAAAGAACACTCCCCCTCCCTTCGATTTCCCCCCATACAGTACTTTATGATCTATACATCTTCCGAGTTTTTATCGCGATCATCGTTTAATTTTTTGAAAATTTGATCATTACACAAAATTTTTTTACAAGTGACTTTTAACACCTGTTTCTTAAAATATCGTCACAGAAAAACTGATTACAAGTGCTTTTTTACATTTGTTTCCTTGAAATTTCTTTAAAAATTATTTTTCTTCTTTACAAGTACTGTCCCTTGGCCAAATTATTAGACGCAATTCTATGTAAAATATTCTATGTAAAATTTTAATTATCAGGTGATAGTCTATACAGTTTTATTGTTTTTACACCGACTGTTTGCGTTTGCTTACGCTCCTTTATCAATTGGTTAACATTGTAATGCAATACGTTAAAAATAAATACAAATAGGAAGTATATACAAAATATCCCGAATAAAAACCCGTTACATATGTTATATGTTTAAATATAAGAGTATTGTATGTAAACTCTTCCAAATCGTGTAAATATTAAGAAATTAATGTGCGCTTAATAATTCGATCTGATAATTATAATTCAAGAGATTTTTCATATACTTCCTATTTGTATTTACTAATAACGTATTGCATTACAATGTTAATCAATCGGCCGGGATAGCCTGGTCGGTAGGGCGCTGGGCCCATATCCAAGAGATCGTCGGTTCGATCCTCGCCGGCCGAAGACTCCCCGTGTAGTAAATGGTGACTGATGCACGTTAAATCTGTCGAGTCTCAAAGTCCTCCATGTTCCCACAACAAATCAATACCTCTGGGGGTACTGATCCAGGAGTTTCCTTGTCTTCTGGATTGGTTCAAAATTACAAGGCTACGGAGTTGAACGTAAGTAGTCGTAAACCCATGAAATTGGGTCGGCTGTTCAACGACGGTTATAAAATAAAATGTTAATCAATCAAATAAGGCCTGGGTAGCCTGGTTGGTAGGGCACTGGACCCGTGTCCAAGAGTTCGTAGGTTTGATCCCCGCCGGCCAAAGACTCACAGTGCAGTAAATGATGACTGATGCACGTTAAATCTGTCGAGTCGCAAAGTCCTCCATCAATACCTTTGGGGGTACTAATCCAGAAGTTTCCTTGTCTTCCGGATTGATTTAAAATTGCAAGGCTAAGGAGTTGAACATTAGTAGTCGTAAACCCAAAATTGGGTCGACTTTCAACGACGGATAAAATGTTAATCAATTGATACAAGAACATAAACAGGTGTAAACTGGTTTCAGCCGTCTAAAAACAATAAGGCTGTATAGTATCACCCTGATAATTAAGTAATTGATATATATATATATATTCGGTCCCNCAGTCGGACCTCTGTTTAACGAAGTAGTTAAATCCCGATACAAAAGTTCGTTATACGGAAAATTCGTTAAATAGAAAATCATATTTTGAAATATTTAAACAACACAAAACAGGTTTGAAATTCATAAACCCTAGACATAATTAAAATTGAAATTTATATACACCTTTATCTTGTAAACTAGTGTCTAATATTTATTTTATAAATCTTAACCATAAAAGAAATCTGTATGGAAAGCAAGAATAGAGCAAAACATTATCCAGTACATGCTGCACACATTTTCAACTAAAAAAAAGTTAAATTTATGTTTAAAATTATATCTGCATTTATTAAAAAAGTAATTTTAAACATACATTACCACATGCGTTCTTAAGTTTAATAGTTGCTGATAAAATCCGTTAATTTGTCTAAGTTTTTCGTTTGAAATGCAAACTTCGAAATTCTATTCAAGGTCATTTCACCCCATTAAATGCCATTAACAAGTTTAAAATATTCTGAAATATTTTGGGAAATAGGGACAGTGGATCTCATAGCGAAGTTCGCTAAATAGAAAATTCAATTCCCTCTTTGGAAGTTACTTTACATAGAAATTTCCAAAATGTTCTTGGTTCCTCGAAAAAAATTGCAAAATAGAGAAATTCGCAAAACGCAAGTTCGTTATATGGAAGTCCAATATATATATCGTTGTCGTCAATAAGAGTATGGCGTTTTACTAAACGATTTAGAGGTATTTCTCCATTAACTTTCCTTATTTTTTTAAATTTAATAACAGTTCATTTATTAGTGTCTTATTCTTCCCCGCTTACGAGAGAATTTTTTGGTAGAAAACTATATCTCAATGCTACATAATGATAACAAAATTATTAACTTTCTGAAAGCTCATTTAATAAGTAAAACCCGTTTCCTTGGCAACCATTGTTTGGTTTGAGAAACATTCTCTCGGAACATTCTCATCTAGTTGTTCGAAAGCATGCCAGTGAGGCGAAGGTATATTCCTCCGGCAGACGAGGATGTACCCTTTGGGGGCAAAGTGGTGTTAGCGAAGAAAAAAAAGCCAGAAAGTTGGTTTTATACATTTTTAGAGGTAAGAAGGTATTTTGTTGAATCTTAAAAGACTTCCAAGATTGTTATTTATTCGCAACAAGCTAGAATTAATCGGAGCTACATGTGCTAAGAACAAAAACTAAAATTTCATGACTTTTTTTTAAAAAATTTTGTTTGAATCGGGGTCGAAACAAAATATTTTTATGGGGTAAACATACATGACACTGACCTAGTTACTTATCTTAAAAATTTGATTGCAGTTTTTAGAAAAAAGTTGAGAGCTTCAAAATATTTGTGTCAGAAAATAGTTAGAAATTTCAAAGAGTAATTTGAAATTTGTTTTAAAAATATTTTTGCCCTTTTTTTTTACCCTATTTTTGCCCGAAAATAGGGCGGTTTGCATGATATCAGCATCTGTTAATTGAATCTAGAAAATGTTTTATTCTACGCACAAGAATTCTATTTATGTTATGTTATTTTATCTGTCGTTGAACAGCCAAACCAATTTTGGGTTTACGACTACCAATATTCAACTCCGTAGCCTTGTAATTTTGAATCAATTCAGAAGACAAGGAAACTCCTGTATCAGTACTCCCAGAGGTATTATGGGAACAAGGAGGACTTTGCGACTCGACAGATTTAACATGCATCAGTCACCATTTTACTTCACGGGGAGTCTTCGGTCGGCCAGGATCGAATCTAAAACTCCTGGACATGGGCCCAATGCCCTACCAACTAGGCTATCCCGGCCTTATGTTATGATTCCTATCTGTTTATGAATAAAAAATATTGAATTCCCGAAAAGCGATATTATTTTTTTATTAAAGGAAAATGTCTGTTAAATAATCCTTCAAACTGTAAAAAATTTTGGATTTCCTCACATTAATTTTATTAATTTCGACTTAACCCGAAGATATATCATATAAAATAAAGTTTTTAATCTCATAAATTGAGTAGATTCCCGATTTTCCGAATTGATGTGGGCCTACACTAGCTTAAAAGATTTGGTTAAAGAAAAAAATTATAAATAAAATAAATCGTTCAGGTTTAAATGCATATTTTAAAAATAAAAAAAATTTTTCTACCACATCAAATTCACATTATTATTAAGTAGAAAAATCTTTATTTGTTTCTGCTGCAACATTTCACCATTTTTTTTTTATTTAAGGAAGTCGTTTCTTTTTGTTCTTCAATTGATTGCCTTTTAGTCCACTGTATTTGAGATTCGTCCTGCAGTGGACTGATTGTAAAGACACGGTTCCCAGTAGAACACCGGAGTCAGTGTGCGGAATGGTAACCACTTGGATTAGTCTGCGTAGGGACCGAGGGTAAGCGGTATCGATTCTAACTAGATTGTTCTACTGTAAAGTGCTCGACTTCGCGAGTAGATCCTCGAGCTACCGAAGCGGGTGTTACATCTCCTCTGCAGAGGATCAACATTGTGATGGTATGTCTTTGGATCATCCTCAGGGATGTTTCAACAGACAGTCGCCAATAGCCCATTGTGTAGCTCTAGAAAGACGCAAATAAACTACAAAAACTACAAAATACATTTTCATGATTTAGTTACTTTTAATTTGGGGCTAAAAATATCACTTTTTCTTTTGTTTTTAATGAGTCAACAAAACAACCGGTTTGAAAAACCAAATAAAGCATGGTTTCGAAGAAAAAAAGAGAAACTAAACTATTTATGAATTATCTTACGTTAAGTGTATGTTACGTGGGTGAACACTTTGATCAGTCTACGTAGGGGCCGAGGGTGCGCGGTATTAGTCCTCGTTAAACTGTTCTACCGTAAAGTGCACGACTTCGTGTGCAGGTCGTCGGACTACCAAAGCAGGGGAGTCATCCCTTCTGCAGAGGATCAAAATTGCGATGGTCAGACAGTCGTCAATAGCCCATTGTGCAGCTCTAGTGCGACGTCAATAAAGTACCTACCTATCTGTATGGGAGATTCGCATTGTGTTTTTAATATACATACATATATATATATATATAAATTAAANCTTCACAATGGGGTATATATATATATATATATATAAAATAATGAGAAAATATGGAAAATAATAAAAAATGACAAGAGACGAAAAATTATTAAAATTAGTTTTTAAAAACATACGAAAAAATATTTTTTATTAATTTAAAAAGAAGTTTTTAAAAATCCGGAAAGTAAAATAAAGAAAAGCTATAATCTTTTCATCAGCTCACACGATTATATCCGCAAAAAGGAGTGCTTTCTAATATAGTATCAATAAAGTCAAAGCGAAATACATCAATACAATAGTGTGAGGAGCACTCAAAAAAATTGAAAACAAAATAGAACACATTAAGTAAAAAAATATATATGAAATAAAACATATGAAGCAAAAAAACAAGAAGTGAAATGCAAAGAAATTAGAGAAAAGAACACGAAAGGAAATCTAGATAGTGAGGAACAAATTAAAATGAACTTACTCGTACCGGAATACTTTTAAAAAATAATTTTAATAATTTCTCTTCTCTTGTCATTATTTTTTATTATTTTCCATATTTTAACTTATTTTATGAGTTCCATACACTTGCAACTTATGCGCAGTTAATAAAACTTATTAATTATTTAATAGATATAATTGGATCTCGGAAATCGAAGTTTTACTGTAATAATATCGATTTGCACTCTTTATTTGCTATTCTTGGGTCTGTGGAGCATGGCATTTCGTACCAAGTTAACGATTAATTATCTAAATAATTATCTACCTCGAAATAATTATCTGATGTTAAATTTTTTATTACATTCCTGTACATTTTTCTACACACCTTCGTATAATCTAAATTTTATAAACACCCACAACTGCATCGATTCTAATTGTTTTTTTGTTTTTTTTAACAGAGAGAGAAGGATGGAAAATAATGGCAAAGTATACCATTTTTGAATTCTTCGTAAGTCATGAAAATTTAAATTATAAAAGTCAAAATTTGAATGAAATCCGTTAACTAGATTTTGAGAAATAAAAAAACTCTGTTTTTCTTTTATAAAAACTAAATAGTTATTAAATTTCATTCCTCAAAGAATAAGACTTAATAATGTAATGAAATATACTATTATTGTACAATGAATAAAAATGAGAGGAAAATCGATCCAAACGTTTATTTTGTAGTGTCATGGCGACCACACATACTTGATAATAATTTTTCCACGGAGCATGATTGTTATAGTTGGTGGCAATTATTTGCATTTTCTGTTCTGGAACGCATTCAGTTTATTCGAAATTCAAATGGGTTTAAGAAAAAAAAAAAGAAAGAAAGAAAGTGGAAACGAATTATTTCACTGCATGCAAAAACGTGAAGATTTGTCCAAAATGGCTTCGGTTATATTAAACTGTTTTAAGAAAATGAAAAAGATGATTACTGTTACAAAATACTTCGATCTTTCATATGATCAGTGGCAAATTCTTCAGTAGTGGATGGGCGTCCCGCAGTGGACTGATCTTTAAGACACGGTTCCCAGCAAATCACCGAAGTCAAGCATCACTGGTTGCTGTCAGTGAAGTCAAGCATCACTGGTTGCTGTCAGTGTGCGGGTGGGTGGCCACGTGGTCTAAGTAGGGACCGACGGTGCGCGGTACGGATCCTCGTTAAACTATTCTACCGTAAAGTGCTCGACTTCGCATGCAGGCTATCGAAGCGGGGGTGCCATATCCGCTGCTGAGGATCAAAATTGTGATGGCATGTCTTCGGATCATCTTTAGGGATGTTTCCCAGACCGTCGCCAATAGCCCATTGTGCAGCTCGAGTGCGACGTAAATGAACTACAACAACTTCAATGGGTGGGCTTTCAAAACTACCAAATCTAGTATATCGGTGCTGTGGTGTTCGATTTATAGGAAATCTGGATTGTACTATATTAAATTTTTCACAGAATATCAGGAAGGGGGCCGGGATAGCCTGGTAGGTAAAGCACTGAGGTCGTTGGTTCGATCCACGTCGGCTGAAGACCCTGTGTGATAATGACTGATGCACATTAAATCTGTCACCAAGTCGTCCATATTCCCATAACAAATCAATACCTCTAGGGCAGTGTTTCCCAAAGTGTGGTACGCGTACCCCCAGGGATACGGGAACAGTTTAGCGGGGGTACGCGTTCTTATGCGAAATATTTTGCAACAAACGAAATTTTCAAAAACTTTTATTTAAAAACAAAGCTAGCCATGAAAATTTACGATTACGTATTTTTCTTTTGGCTATTTTTTGCAGAGTTAAAAGTTAATAATGAGTGGCGTCAACAGCCAGTTGTGATTTGTAACTTTTGTGCAATTTTTTTATAGTAAAAAATGCATTCATTTTTTTTCTAGTGGTACACAGGGTTACGAAAAATTTAGAAAGGGTACACAATAGTCATAAGTTTGGGAAAGACTGCTCTAGGGGTACTGGAGTTTCCTTGTCTTCTGGATTTGTTCAAAATGACAAGCCTACGGAGCTGAAGTCGCAAATCAAAAAGTAGGTCAGCTATTCAATGACTGATATAAAGAAGAAATCTCAGGATGGGTCGTGATGGCTGAGGGGATAGCCTTCCAATGTAAATGAACCATAACAACAAATCTACTGTCTTTTATCGGTACCACGGAAGAAATTGAACACCCTGGAGTAAGATGAACGCAACTTCAAGAGGGTGCCGTGTGGTGTATAAAATAAATAAATAATATATTGGAAAAACTGAAGTTTTTAATCACCAAAATTATTTGCATGTTAGATTGTGATTTATTTCATAGTATTTAAAACACTTAAAATTTAATTTTTTTTAATGCTCTATTACAATTTATTCATTTGTATTACTTTTTTCTTTCCAAAAAACAAAGACCAAGAAAATTTATACTTTTTTTTCAAAGGAAAGTAACGGTGCATGAGGTCGCAAGTTAACAGGCCACAGCAGGGATAGTCGAGTCCATCCCTGCTGTTGTTGCAGTTCATTTACGTCACATTAGAGCAGCACAATGGGCTATGGGCGATGGTCTGGGAGACATCCCTGAGGATGATCCGAAGACATGCCATCACAATTTTGATCCTCTGCAGAGGGGATGACCCCCCCCCCCGATCCAGTAGTCCGACGATCTGGGCGTGAAGTCGAGCACTTTACGGTAGAACAGTTTAACGAGCACCCATACCGCACACCCTCGGTACCTTCGTAGACTCATCCAAGTGGTCACCCGCCGGCACACTGACCTCAGCCAGTGCTACTTGAGCCGGGTCTTAACGATCAGTCCACTGCGGGACCATGCTTATATATTCATATGTCATAAAAGATTACATTGATTAAAAAATATTACTTTTAATAGATATATTCGAATTGTTGTTGTTAATTTACGTCGCACTAGAGCTTCACAATGGGGTATTGGCGACGGTCTGGGAGACATCCCTGAGAATGATCCGAAGACATGCCATCACAATTTTGATCCTCTGCAGAGGGGATGGCACCCCCGCTTCGATAGCCCGACGACCTGCACTTTACGGTCGAACAGTTTAACGAGGACCCATACCGCATACCCTCAGTCCCTAAGCAAGCTGATCTAAGTGGTCACCCACCCGCACACTGACTACAGCCAGCGATGCTTGACTTCGGTGATCTGCTGGGAACCGTGTCTTAACGATCAGTCCACTGCGGTACAGATATATTCGAATACTTGAGGTTATATTCTCTTTAATTAAACTGATGGCTTTTTTTAAAATCGTTATTATGTTCAGGTGCAACCGCGGACCGCACATCACTTGCTGGTAGGCTGCAGGTTGTACACATATTGTGGCTATCTGGACACTGAAAGTTTTATATAGAATTGAATGATAGGATTGATATATTTTCCCCCCTCTTATTTTGTAGCTGACGGCATTTTCGTTTGTGTTGGCACTTCTGTACTTCTCGTACTTCCACTTTGACTACCTCCACTTCCACGTCACTCACCTGTACGCTCACATTGGACACTCCCCCGCACAGCACGCCATCGCCCACAAATACCTCAATGGTAAATACTCTCTCTTATTCATTCATATAGTATATATTCATTCATATATCATTAATAGATTCATTGTACTACTATAGGTAAAGGTGTGGAGCGAAATCATACAGCAGCAATGGACTGGTTTAGGTAAGCTCTTTACCTCTGCACATTAACCCGTTAAAGTGCGTAATGGTAGTGTATCTAACACTACAAAATCACTACTACAATTCACTAGTATAAAACTCGATTCTATGTAGGGGTACCTTTTCATAGATGACGATTGACATGGTAGATAATACTCTCCCCACATTGGTGACCCGGACGTGATGCCTACCTTGACAGAAACTCCCACTTCGATATGCACATGCCTGTCTTGGCAGTAACGCCTACTACGATGGAGGGTGCGCATTTAACAGTTGACTTGCTACTTGTGACTTATTAAACTTATACTATGCAAAAACAAAAAAAATCGTAATTTTGCAGGAAATCGCATTTGGTAACAAAAGCTTTTTTTGAACATAATAAGTTTCAAGCAATTTTCTAAGTTGTTTTTGTACTTTTTCAAAGAAAGTTCTCATTGTACTTTTTCAATATTTAATATTTAAAAGCATTTTTAGTAATGCGCTATAAGACATGTAAACTTGATTCTATGGTGGGGTACCTTTTCATAGATAAAGGTTGACATTGTCGATAACAACTCTCCCCACATTGGTGACCCGGAAGTGATGTGAAAATGTCTACCTTGACAGAAACTCCCACTGAACACGCCTACTTCGATGAATTGTCCACATGGAACAGTCGACTTGCTACTTGTGACTGCGACATTATCCACCTTCTCACGCTGTTGCTACTCACTCTTGATCACACACAACCTATACACTCGACTGCTAAAGGCAACACAGGAGCGACCACGACCGTGAACTGAATACAACTCTCACGATCAGCACTCAAAAAGTACGGTGATCGTAATACAGCTCTCCCGGCTTTTCACAAAACAGCAATGAATAAACTAGTGATAACCGTTCATCGAATTCTATCACAAATATAATTATGGTGGGGGAGTACTGTAGTGTATCTACCACTACAAGTATACAAATCCAATTAACTAGTATATAAGACATGTAAATTCGATTCTACGACGGTGTACCTTTTCATAGATGAAGGTTGACATAGTCGATAACAATTCCCCTCACAGAGACTTCCATTATTGCAGGATATGTGCGTGGGCATGTTTATTATTATTACAGGCTACCACTGCATTATGTTAAATAAATCCATAGAAAGACTACATTGTTATAGGTTTGAAATAAAGGGATTTTTGTTTTCAGAAAAGCAGCTGACCAGGGTCATCCTCATTCGGCATACAATTTAGCCGTAGCTCACATGCAAGGATTTGACACAGATGTCAAGAAAGGGTAAGGAAGTCAGTTTTGTCTCAAAACTTAACAAATACTTTTATTATGAATTCTGTTATATGCAGTAAAAAGTTCACCACTGATGCAAACTATTTTTCTATTTAAAAGAAAACCAACTCTATCATAACTTTTTTTTCCATTGAGTTTTTAAAAAATCAGATGGCTAAACAACAATCAACGTTGCACGCCTATTTGTATTAAAAATGACATTTTGCTCTTTGCAAAAACATTTCTTAAAAACACACTAGGAATTATTATTAAGGAGGGCTAGATGTGTTATTTCATCGTTAAAATAGTAATGTTGTGCATGCTTCTTATATATGTACCATTGTGTAAAAGTTTAGTTTTCTGCATTTAAGAAAATAAGCACAAATTATTATCTATATAAAAACATATATTATTCTGCTCACATTTAGTAAGGGATAGACAAATATTCGATAGCCAAACAGCAACATTTAAAAATAAATAAATTATATATCTATAAACAGGGTGTCCCAATTCGACCGCATAAACTCTGCACAGCTAGATTCCTCGTTGGGAGTACATAAAAACTTCAAAAAAAGAAGCGTTCCAGTACGATCCATAGTTTACTAGAAAAATACGAAAAACGAAGTAAGACGTCACTGCCGGTGCAAGAAAAAAACACTTTATTGAACATATCAACAGCAGTATACTATGCACAATTTAAAGCAGATGTTCAAAGTGTCCGCCGTGCATGTCGAGGCAGGGTTGAGCATGCCGTGGAATGTCCAATTAAGTGTTTTTTTTTCTTGCACCGGCAGTGACGTCATACTTTGTTTTTCGTATCGCAAACTATGAATCGTACAGGAAAGCTTCTTTTTTTGTACTTTTTATGTACTTCCAATGAGGAATCTAGCTGTGCAGAGTTTATGCGGTCATTTTGGGACATCCTGTATATATAAAAGTGACAACAAAAGAATAAATACAGTTAAAAACGCTATATTAACATGCTTCACTTCAGCTAAACAGAAAAACAAGCACAAATGAAACCAAAAAAAAAAAAGTTCTCAATTTTTAAATTATAAAGTGTTGGGAAAACGATGAAATTGACTTTCCTGAATATAGCATGAAAAGGGAAAAAAAATCAGCATTACAAACCTTATTCTTTCAGTTCAGTATAAAATAATCTAGTTTCAATTCTCAGGGTTGCCACTCAAATCTGGAAAAAAAATTCCCTGTGTTTTCCCAGTACATGTTATATGCAATATATTAAGAGGAAACAACAATTACTGTGCTCTTGTGTCAGCTATATTGGGCTAACTATATTTATTACTTTTAATTGCCGGAAAAACAGCTGAACATACTTAAATAATGCTACAGTAAATGAAATAGTTTAATATAGCTGAAATATCATGGTTAAATATTCCATAGATTAAGCTTTGAGTGGTCACCATTTTTTAAAATACAAAAATTAAAAAACAAAATTCCCTGTATTTTCTCAGTTTGTAAAGAAAAAATCAAAATTTCCTGCATTTTCTTTGTTATTTTAGGTGATTTTTAAATTCCCTGTATTTTCCAGGTTTTCCCTGAGGAGTGGCAACCCTGATTCTTCAATTTTTATCTTTTCCGTGTGTCTTTCAGAACATAAATTAACAAGTCTTAGAACTTAATAAATAAGTGTAAAAAGTATTTCCAATAATGTTTAGTATAAATTACGATTTGAGATTATTCTTTGTCAAATCTTTTAAAATTTCCCTCCAAAAAAAATTTAGTAAATTTTCCAAATAATTTTTTTTATCAAATATTCGGCCAACTGAATATTTGACAAAAGGGCCGAATACTCGTTACATGCCTACTAACATTAAAATTTCTCTAATCCAGTGTTTGTGGTGTATTGCAGGGAAGCCCATGACCTCATCAAATATGCAGCTGATAATGGCGTGCCAGAAGCGCATGACATCTTCCGCAGAATCTGCAGTAAAGGACATTGCAAGCACTGACAACACGAAGAGAAAATTTGTTTTTAATGATTATGCCATCTCTTGGAAAAAAATAAATTAGTCATTTAAGTTGTATTTTTGAATGTTGACTGAAAAATAGGTACAACAAAATTAGCTGTACCATCATTGTTTTAAAAATAAATAATTAAATGAATTAATTGAATGATGGATTCTTTTTAAAGTGACACAAGGGGTGCTATACCAAGCTTCAATGAGAAAAACTTATCCAAGAAAAATATATATTTAACCGCTTTTTCACCAATTTTTTTAAAGAAAAAAAAATGAAAAAAAAAAATTAACTTTTATTTTATTTCAATCATAAATACAAGGAACTAAAACAAACCTAATACACAAGTTCTAAGTTGAAATTTAAATTTTTTTATGTGTAAAAAATAGTTAATTTACCATTAGTTTACTATCCCGAATTATCTCGGATGAATGAAAAAAAATCAATATTAGTCCTTGTATGTGTTCACATCGTTACAATCTGAAATATCACCTGCATTATTTTCACTTTCGCTTGCGAAAGCCATTTTCTTACTCTTTTTTTTCCTATGTAAATTCATCAACCGTCATAAATACAATTGTACAAAACATGTCTGCAGTCCCATAAATACCAAAACTAAAGTATAGAGAAAACATGGAAAAATTACAGGACAATGGAAAAAGAAAAATAATAATAAAAAAATTCTATTTTATATTTTATTCTGTTTTTCCTTCATATTTCCTTTTCTGCTCTTACATGATATTTTTACTTAAAGTGTTATATTTTATTTGTTGTAAATTTTTTGTAAAATTTTTTTCGAGTGCTCTTCACAGTATTGTATTGATATATTTCACTCCGGCTATATTGATACAATTTTAGAAAGCACTCCTTTTTTGCAGATATAATCGTGTGAGCTGATAAGAAGATTATATCTTTTATTTTCCTGATTTTTATAAATTTTTTTCTCCTTTTTCGGAATTTTTTTTCTAGGGTTTTTATTATATTTATTATTATTATTATTGTTTTTCTCTATTTTAATTGTCCTGTAATTTTTCCAAGTTTTCTCTACATTTTGAATGTATTTTATGAGTTCTATTTACTTGCAGCGTATGCGCCGTAAATAAAACTTATTGTTTTTTGGTTTTTCTTAATTTTCTTTGTTTTCCCCCCTNTATATATAAAAAGAGAGAGAGATTTGTTTACTCATGTACAAACCGTGACACATGTCCTACAGTAATGATGAAATTAGTATGCAACTTCCCAGGTTAAACTGAATACTCTATCATAAATTACACTCTCATTATATCTTTTTTTTTCAACATAAAGAAAGAGTAGAAGTTAAAAAAAGAATGTTAACAAAGCAATGAAATCTCCTTAATAAAAAAAATTAAAAATAAAATTTACCAAAAATTTTGACTACCAAAGCAATCAAGAAGGTGCAAAAAAAATTATCAAAAACACTAACAGCAAAATGAAAGAAATATTTAGGATCAATTTATTTCAATTTTTTGAATTTCACAAGATTAAAAAAAAAGCAAATATTTTCAAACTAAAGAATAATACCGAAGCTCATATTACTGAACTTTGTAATTCAGCAAATACTGTTACTTAAATAAGTATGCTTATAAAACACACACAATATGCAGATAAATTAAAAAACATTTAATCTTTGACAGTAATAATAAATCCACAATTTTTTATGTCATAAAACAGTAATTTCAAATCTTTTGTATTCAATGATAAATACAATAACATCATGTAAAATATATCCACAACATTTCATTCAAATTTAATATACATTTCATAATTCACTCAGTTGAATAAGATGATATAAGGTTTAGATTAAGTATTCAAGCACACAGTTTTTTACAGGAATAAAAATATAATAATTGTTAAACTAAATAGATTTTTAAATCTTTACGCAACACGAAAAATAATGTTGAATAAAGAAGTAGTTTTAAAGGAATTTCCATTCAATTTATTTTAACAAACGATGGGTAATTAAGGTACTTTTAAAACAGGAAATGAAATTATTTCAACATCGAGATTAGTTATGCTTTTTAATGAAATTAATGAGTCCATTTGTAGAGCTGTCGTGGGATGATACTGGATCTTTTCCTTTCAACTCCGGTTGGATCAGTTTAGCTAATTGCTTTCCCAATTCAACCCTGAAAAAAGAAATAGTTTTCTACTGTGAATTACAACATTCATTTAGCAAGGCTCTATTTTGTGAAAATTTAGACAAAATTTGGGAAAATTAAAAATTATGTTAAAAAATCAACACAAAAATATGATAAAGTAAGAAATATTTTCAAAAACTGCCACTTCAAATAAAAATCATTTATTTCAGGTAAATTTCTGTATATTTTTCCTCATATGAAAAAGATAATTTTGCTATTTTAAATTTGTGGGCTTAAAATTTCATAAAAAATCATTGTCCACAGTTAAATTTATACTCGAATTTAATAAAAACAAGCATTTAATAGTACTATCACTAAAAGTTATTTTCATTATGAGAACATTTTCAACTAGGTCATACAGAAAAAAATAAAAATCATCTATGACAGGTAAATTTCTGTACATTTTTCCCCATATAAAAAAGATAATTTTGCTATTGTAAAATTGCGGGCTTAAAATTTCATAAAAAATCATTGTCCATAGTTAAATTTCAACTTGAATTTAATAAAAACATGCATTTAACAGTACTGGCACTAAAAGTTATTTTCATTATGAGAAGATTTTCGACTCGGTCATACAGAAAAAAATAAAAATCACTTATGACAAGTAAATTTCTGTATATTTTTCCCCATATAAAAAAGATAATTTTGCTATTGTAAAATTGCGGGCTTAAAATTTCATAAAAAATCATTGTCCATAGTTAAATTTCAACTTGAATTCAATAAAAACATGCATTTAACAGTACTGGCACTAAAAGTTATTTTCATTAAGAGAATATTTTCGACTAGGTCATACAGAAAAAAGTTTCACATAGAAAAAAAAAAATTCATAAAAAATAAAGGTCTGTCAGAATGAATTTACAACAGTGTTTAAGATAATGTTTCAATGTTTAAAATAATGTTCGAATTTTGACTTCCTGTAAGGTTTACAGAGGGAGATCCTCGTTGTTTAATTTTAAAAAACTCAGCTAAAAAAAAAGGTTAGGTTTACCATATTGCAGTATCTGACCAAACATGTGCTACCTTTTTGTAAAAGACATCTGGCGAAAAAGCTCCTCTTTTCCCTAGATTGCAAGAAGAATGGGGTTTGCTTGAGAGCTTGCTTCATTAAAAGTATTTTGTGAAACTACCGTTTTTCCTAAAGTTGAATTTGGGAAGGTACCGTTAAATGGTAGTAAATATACCCTTGACAGATCTCTGTTTAGAGACATATGGGTAACAATTAGTTGAAAGAAAGCTAGACTGTGTCAGAAACCCTTAATGGAAATTTAATCTAAATAAGTATGAACAGGGTATCTGCCCACATGGATTTCTGCATTGAACAAAATTTGTTTTTCTAGAAAGAAACCTAGATTTATTAAATCTTCTCAGCCCATAAACAGCCGTATTTGCCAGATAGAGTTGGATTTTTATTACAGGAGTCATTCTGCTGTCAATGGTAATAATTAATCCTGAGTAAGTAAAACTCCTTACTGTTTCATTCAATCTATAAGAATCCATTTCAAGATAGGGGACTTGAGAATAACATATATTTTGCTCTCTCTACATATATGACTATGATTTTACTCTCACACATCAACTGTTAACTAAACTAATGGCGTGACAGCCCAAGGCCTACCATATCCATCTCAGTTTGTTTGACCTTGGGCTCTGGGGTACAGGAGCAGATGTTCCGAGCAGGTGGTCAGCCGAACGCGGAACCCCCAGTGTTTAGTTCCCAAGCATGATTGGTCCTCATTTATCGTCCCACTGAAGGGATGAAAGGCTGAGTCAACCTTTCCCGGCCCGAGGATCGAACCCAAGACCTGTGGCACGGGCGCACGAAGAGCTACCACTCAGCCACCAGGCGTCACTGAAACACTGAATGGTAAAAAAAAAACGCTCTTTTGAAATAACTAGAATTGGTAAATAGTATCTATGATTTATCGATTAGCACAATAGTAAATTACTGTGCAAATTGAAATCAAAATACAAATTGAGAAATTTTATGTCAGGGCCATTATCAATGATATTTTACACACTTTAAAAAAAATAAAATATGTTAAATAAAGTTTTAACTAAAGATAAACTAAATAGATTAGAATACTTACCCCCATTGGTCAAATGAATTGATGTCCCAAATAATACCCTGAGTAAAGATCTTGTGCTCATACATAGCTGAAATTGAAGAAGAAAAACTGTTTATTAACTCCACATTTGTATTAGACATGATACTACATTTACTTTGAAAAAACCCAGATATATTTCCCTTTCATATTTTGCTCTCCTTTTTTGTTGTAATTTAACAATTAATTGATAATATACATTAACAAAATGCAAAATTATTTTCATAGACTTTACAAGATCATATAGGAGAAAATTGAGTGTTGCAACATTTAAATCCAATTATATTTAGGTAAAACGGTCATGAAAAATTTGGGTCAAAACTGTGTGGTAACAAAGACTCCCTAATTGAATATATTGTTTATCATATATATCCATATAATAATAATGAAATAAAAAATTCCCAATTTTGAATTAAAAAACACGTGTTTTCTAACAAAATGCTTCATGTACAAATTTTAACTTTTTTTAAATTTAGAAACAAAAGCATATTATACAATATTTTAAGCTTAGAACTACATTGCATGGGTAGATGAATCACTTACACTGTGCTAAACTAAGTTTCGGGACATCAATTCCGCAGGCAACACCAAATTTGCTGAGATTTTCAGAGTACAATTCAAAGCATTTTACAGTTTTTGGTTCATAAAAATAGCATGACTTTAATCATAGTTCAAAAATTTACTCATGACGTCTATTAAGAATTAAAATATAAATCCAAAAAAAACTATTTTAGAAACAAAACTGATAATTTCTATAACCTAAATTTCTTGATTATTTCATGAATAAAGATTTCATGATAGTAAACAAAATAAATTAATAAAAAACAATAGTTTTAGTTTTAAATTTGTCATTCATTTTATTTAAGTCAAAAAGAGATGAGCATTAAATTAACTGATATTACTATTATATTGTTTACGGAAATTTAATTTAAAGTTTAAAAAAAAAAACAATTTTTTTTATACAGAAAATTTAAGAAAAAAAAAATATTAATTAGTCATTGATAAATAAAAAAATTGATAAATAAAAAAATTGATAAAAAATGCATGATAAAAAAAATAGATAAATGAGCTCACCAATAGAAATATTACGTAACATATTTGTTATGCAAAATAGTTTTAATGCCTTAATATTAGATACAAACACATTAGTGCAGATATTCTGTGTGATTATTACAAATTGCTAGCTAATATGGCAAAAAATTTCTGTAATTGATTATTAATTTTCCCGATTTTGCCTGTTTCCGTTAAAAATACTTACGATGACAATGCATAAAGTTAACAAAATCAAACAGATTTGGAAACAAAAAAGTAAACTTAAGAATTATGGAAATAAAAATATAGAACTTACCGATTAAACAACCCAAGTTAAGAGGTGATATTTTATCCAATAAAATAGAATTTGTGGGTTTATTACCAAGGAAAACCTAGAAAAGAAAAAAATATTTTTATACAAGAGTTTAAAAAACATCAAATTAATACTCAGAGTTGCTAAAAAGCCGGGCTTTTTCGGAAAAGGCTAAGTGGTCTATTTTTATTAAAAAGGTCAGCTTTTATTTTTAAAAAAAGCTTTTCTTCCCAAGTTCAAATTTTTTATGGTTTTTCATTGATGGACTAACATAATCTTGATTTTAACCCTCAATAATTCCATCATAAACTATTATATTTTCTGATAGTAACCAACATAAGTAACCATCATCCCAATGTAGGATTTCGGAATGATTTATGATGGCCCAATATAAGAATAGCAACTTGTTTTGATGGTTTGTTCATTTTGAACCATCAAAAAGTTTCATCATAGTTTCTTAGAAACAAATGTTGGAACGATTATGAACCGCCATCGCCACAATGTTGAAATTCGGACTGATTTATGATGATCCAAATTAGAAAAACCAAATTATTTTGATAGTATACTCCTGAGAACAAACAAGAATTTCCATTAAACCATCATCGAAATGTATAGTTGTAACCATCACGGATTGTTGATCGAGAGAATCAACCTTCTCTTGATGGTTAACCATCTTAGTATTAAGGTAGCATTTTCCATCATAGAAAAAATGGAAGTTTGTTGGCATATCAAAATCCATGAAAGCAGAATGTAAAATGATGGTGACCATCAAATGATTGCTAGAACATCATGAATCACAATGAAACCAACATAAACCATCAAGAATTTTGACTTGGATTTATTGACTTTTTTTATATTTTATTATTTAAAATTAACATGCTAGTTCCTTTTATTAATACCTATTCTGAAGAATAAGTAAAATATGTTATGATACTATGCATCATAATTTAATACTTTATAAGCTTAATAGCTAATGTGATGAAAATAATAACTAATGTGAATTACATAACGGCAGTATTTAAAAAAGAATTTCATGTCTTTAAGTTGAAGAAGTTTGACATATGATCAGGGGTCCTCTTAGTAGCATGCTTGGTCCCCAAGCACAAAAATGTTTTAGACTCCTTTAATATACCATAATGTTTAAAAACGAACTAAAAAACTTCACGCACATAAAATAAATCATTTTTAAGACACGATGCAATAATTTTAACAAATTTAAGCATATTTTGATGACCCCAAAAACTCAAAGCATTTTTAAACCTCAAATAATAAAACAATTTTCAAAATTATATAAATGAATTAAAAAAATAAAATTAAATAAACATAAAGGTATAATAAATTTTAAAAAAAATTCAAAAAGTATGAATTATTTTGTCAAACTAAACAGTTATTAAAACAATGCCTAAGTATCTAAAAATTTTCAATGGAACATAGAAAAATAGATTTCGGTTGCCTTTTTAAGTTTTCTTGGAGATAAACCATTCAAATTATTGATGTTTTAATGACAACCAATCACTGTTTGTAGAAAGAAAGTGCACACTTCATACAATAGAATATATATAGAATTGCCTCCCCTATCTCTTAAGAAGTCACAGATATAACATTCCTACCTGATTTCATTTCCATCATATTAAAAGCTGATCACGAGTCACAAATGACCACAAGCATCACATTAACACCAGAAAGATATTTTTTTCCGCAGAGGGTGGGAGAAGCACCATTCACAAACGAAAATCATTTTTGTGCTTTGGACTCAATGTATACTTTGTGGGTAGACTTGACAGTACAAAAAAATGAATACACATACAAAAATATCAGATTATTTTCAATAAAATAGGTTTTCAGGTATGTTTACGATACTATTTTCTGAATTTGTTTTTAATATTTAACCATAAAAAACGCTCTGCAAATTAATCTTTTTGCATAATATATAAATACATTTATAGTTAATACAGATATAACATTAAAATTTAAAAAAATCTTATCGTGTCCACTAAGTATGCAGGCACTCTTTATAAAAATAACTCCCTCTACAACAATATATTTATCTGGTCCCCAAAATATTGTTGTAGCGAGGTTTTACAGTAGTTATTGTAGTGTTTTCGAGCTAACACAATCTCGATCCAACTTCCCTTACTTTAAGATAGATTATTATAAGGACTGACAGAAAGTGCAACCATTAGAGAAGGAAGTTAATGTGCTTAATCAAATATTTATTTCAAGTAATAAGAAAGTCACCTTATGTGGTAATATCTTTTTCAGCTTATCATCAGGGAGTCCAGCTTTTTTCAGTTCTTCTTCAGCCTCTTCGGTGGTCTTTCCTCGCATCAGAGCTTCAGGCTGAGCCAGAAAATTGGCCAGTAATATCTATAGAATATATATTTAGTTAACATGCATTTAATCTTACAAATATATTTTCAAAAGCAGTAAACTGTTTAGCAAAAGGTTAATAGGATAATCAGATCTTCATTAATTCTTTTTTTTTTTTTTTACATGTCGTCTAAAAACTTGACTCAACCTAAATATTTGTGTGTATTTTTTGCATTCACTAGTTTTTATGTCTTCTTTCAAAGTACTTTTCACAGGGTATCTGCTACATCTTAGATTTTCAAATTCATGACTTTCCATGACTCATTCCAAGAATTTTTCATGACTTATGGAAGTTACTATTTTCTCCCGACAAAAACACAACAATAAATTTAAAAAGCATTATAATAACATTAATTGAAATGTCTGTCTATACTCCTATTTATTTTAAATTTAAAAAATAGAGTAAAGAAAGAGTTCAAGCAATAAAATAGCTGGGGAAAAATACAAAAGCAAATATTTTTTTTTGCCCTTTTTTCTGCAGAATTATATTCTAAAGATACTTTTCTTGATCATCAGAAAGGAAATAAATACTCCTGATTTTTCCGTTCTCATTTCGGAATTAAAAAAAAACTCGCCTATGCCTCAGCTAGAATTTGAAATTGATAAAATAAAAATAATAAATAACAAAAACAAAAAATTTTTTTCTGCCGATTTATATTCTAAAGATGCTTCCCTTGTTCATCTGAAAGGAAAGAAATACTCCTGATTTCTACGTTTTCATTTCGGAAAAAAAAATTCGACAATGACTGGCTTTCTTCAGCTAAAATCTTAAATTGATAATAAATAAATAATAATAATAACAAAAATTCTGAAATCACAGAAGTTTAAAAGATAATTTGTTCTAGAAATGTTTATTCTTTCATTTTTTGAAAGAAAACACCATAATTTTTAAAGAACATGAAAAAAAAAACATTTTATATTTTAATAAAATATGACTGTGAGTGGGGATTTTGTTACTAATTTAGATATTCGCGGCACCATGAAATGGGGGGGGGGTAAATTTCATTTTAAAAATTAGCCTTTTGGCGACCTAAATCTATGACTTTCCATCATTTTTTTAAAAAAAAAGTTAAAATCATGACAAATTTTGTTCAATACTTCAATTTACCCAGGTGCGCAGATATCCTGTTTTGGTCAGCAAATTTTCACTCACAGCTCACTCACAACTACCATCATGTTTTTAGGAATACACCAAAGAATTGATTTTGCTCTGAAAGTTTCGAGCGGACACTAAGTAAACAATCATTCAATATTTTTCAACAATTTTGTAATGAAATGCACTAAATTAATAGGCTATTCAGGGTTACCACTCAAATCTGTAAAAAAAATTTCCTGTGTTTTCCCTGTACATATTATACACAATATATTAAGAGAAAGCAACAATTACTGTGTTCTTGTGTGAGCTATATTAGGCTAACTATATTTATTAGTTTTAATTGCTGGGAAAACGGTTTAACATACTTAAATTATGCTACAGCAAATAAAATAGTTTAGTATAGATGAAATATCATGGTTAAATATCCCACAGATTACGCTTTGAGTGGTCACCATTTTTTTAAAGACAAAAATAAGAAACAAAATTCCCAACATTTTCCCTATTATTTTAGGTGATTTTTAAATTTCCTGTATTTTCTAGGTTTTCCCTGTGGAGTGGCAACCCTGATATTGCAGCAATTCCACATTCCTTATAAATGTCCCTTTATACCCCTAAAGTTCCTTTTTCTCCATTTTTTTCCGTCCTCAACATAATTTGGCCCTCACTCATTACTTTAGTTTTAATCTTAAGTTTTTATTAATGACTCAAAGGACAGAGGACAAAGGTTTAAATCAAAGCAATGGCTGGTAGATACGAATATTAGATTTGGTTTTAAGATTGGAAACAGATAATAGTTTTAAATCACCTTGCTGTCAGGTAAAGGTATTCGTGGCTTCCCTCTCCTTGTAATCCAGGTTAATTCCATCAAAAAGTCATTTACGAAAGCTATTTTGGATCAATACTTAATTCAGGAGTTCTGTTGTTTTCTGGGTTGGGTTATAAATGACATGGTTACGGAGTTAAATTTTTATTTTTAGTTGTAAACACAAAATTGGGTTGGCTGTTCAACGTTGTTAATAAAGTATATTCACTAGTATATAAGACATGTTAACTCGATTCTATGTAGGGGTACCTTTTCATAGATGAAGGTAGACAAGGTCGATAACAAGTCTCCCCACATTGGTGACCTTGACGTGATGCGAACATGCCTAACTAGACAGCAACGCTCACTTCGATCTGAACTCGTCTACTTCGATGGATGGTCCTCATTAAACAGTTGACTCGCTACTTGTGAATGCGTCATTATCCACCTCCTCGAGCTGTTGCTACTTAGTCTCGATCACACACAACATCCCATGCAGCATGAAAGGGCAAATAAACGTTAAAAATCCGTTTGTCCGTTATAAGGTTTTGGTCTTACGTTAAAATTACGTTAATTTCACGTGATGATTTTCACCATTTCTTCATTCGTTAAAACGTATACGTTAAAATTACGTTAATTTCACNTTCATTAATTCTTTTTTTTTTTTTTTACATGTCGTCTAAAAACTTGACTCAACCTAAATATTTGTGTGTATTTTTTGCATTCACTAGTTTTTATGTCTTCTTTCAAAGTACTTTTCACAGGGTATCTGCTACATCTTAGATTTTCAAATTCATGACTTTCCATGACTCATTCCAAGAATTTTTCATGACTTATGGAAGTTACTATTTTCTCCCGACAAAAACACAACAATAAATTTAAAAAGCATTATAATAACATTAATTGAAATGTCTGTCTATACTCCTATTTATTTTAAATTTAAAAAATAGAGTAAAGAAAGAGTTCAAGCAATAAAATAGCTGGGGAAAAATACAAAAGCAAATATTTTTCCCCCCCTTTTTTCAGCAGAATTATATTCTAAAGATACTTTTCTTGATCATCAGAAAGGAAATAAATACTCCTGATTTTTCCGTTCTCATTTCGGAATTAAAAAAAAACTCGCCTATGCCTCAGCTAGAATTTGAAATTGATAAAATAAAAATAATAAATAACAAAAATTCTGAAATCACAGAAGTTTAAAAGATAATTTGTTCTAGAAATGTTTATTCTTTCATTTTTTGAAAGAAAACACCATAATTTTTAAAGAACATGAAAAAAAAAATTTATATTTTAATAAAATATGACTGTGAGTGGGGATTTTGTTACTAATTTAGATATTCGCTGCACCATGAAATGGGGGGGGGGGGTAAATTTCATTTTAAAAATTAGATTTTTGGCGAATAGTTTAGTATAGATGAAATATCATGGTTAAATATCCCACAGATTACGCTTTGAGTGGTCACCATTTTTTAAAAGACAAAAATAAGAAACGAAATTCCCAGCATTTTCCCTGTTATTTTAGTTGATTTTTAAATTTCTTGTATTTTTTAGGTTTTCCCTGTGGAGTGGCAACCCTGATATTGCAACAATTCCAAATTCCTTATAAATGTCCCTTTATATTCCTAAAGTTCCTTTTTCTCCATTTTTTTTGTGTATCCTTAACATAATTTGGCCCTCACTCATTACTTTAGTTTTAATCTTAAATTTTTATTAATGACTCAAAGGACAGAGGACAAAGGTTTAAATCAGAGCAATGGCAGGTAGATATGAATATTAGATATAGTTTTAAGATTAGAGACAGATAATAGTTTTAAATCACCTTGCTGTCAGGCAAAGGTATTCGTGGTTTCCTTCTCCTTGTAATCCAGGTTAATTCCATCGAAAAGTCTTTTACGAAAGCTATTTTAGACCAATACATAATTCAGGAGTTCTGTTGCCTTCTGGGTTGGGTTATAAATGACATGGTTAGGGAGTTAAATTTTTGTTTTAGTTGTAAACACAAAATTGGGTTGGTTGTTCAACGTTGTTAATAAAATATATTCACTAGTATATAAGACATGTTAACTCAATTCTACGTAGGGGTACCTTTGCATAGACAAGGTCGATAACAAGTCTCCCCACATTGGTGACCTTGACGTGATGCGAACATGCCTAACTAGACAGCAACGCTCACTTCGATCTGAACTCGCCTACTTCGATGGATGGTCCACATTGAACAGTTGACTCGCTACTTGTGAATCCGTCATTATCCACCTCCTCGAGCTGTTGCTACTCAGTCTTGATCACACACAACATCAGCCTACATACACACGACTGCTGATGGCAACACAAGAGCAACCAGGACCGTGATCTTAATACAGCTCTCCCGGCTTCTCTCATAACGAATCAACTAGTGGTATCTGCTTATTGAATTCCATCACGGATATAATTCTGGTGGGGGAGTACTGTAGTGTGTCTACCACTACAGAAATACAATTGCAATTCACTAGTATATAAGACGTGTTAACTCGATTCTACGACGGGGTACCTTTTCATAGACGAGGGTAGACATTGTCGATTATCTACTCTTCCCACAACCACTCTTTTTATATGAAATTCTTGTCGTTTGCAGATTTTAGGTTTAAAAAGGAATAAATTATGATTGGAAAGAAGAAAGGATGGGTCAGAAATAAAAAAAAACTAACGTACCTCATGATGGAGACCGTCGCTAATTGGATTTTGTGTTTTAACAGGAGCAAGGAAATCACAGGGAATGAGACGAGTACCTGAAATTATTTATTAAATGTATTAACAGCAATAAACATTTCGAGAAAAATAACAAAGGAAGTATTTGAGTGGCATAATTCGAAATGAATATAGTGATTACAAATGTCTATAACTATTTATTGAAAAAAGAATGTATCGATAAAATTCACACAGAATGTAGAAGGAACTTAAAAATTTTGCATGACATGCATCACAGATATTTTATGTGACTTCCCTTGGTCACACGGACAACATCTAGGCGGTAGTCCATTTCACTCCATGCATTCTGAAGCGTTTGTGTAGTCACCGACACAAGCACATTACAAATGTGTTCTTTGATTTCTTCAATTGAGCATGCCGAGGCCGGGATAGCCTGGTCGGTAGGGTACTGGGCCCATGTCCAAGAGGTCGTGGGTTCGATCCTCGCCGGCCGAAGACTCCCCGTGTAGTAAATGGTGACTGATGCACGTTAAATCTGTCGAGTCTCAAAGTCCTCCATGTTCCCATAACAAGCGAAGCTTTACCCCGACCCATAGCAGGACATCCGGGAAATACGTGAAGACTATCGTAGCTGCAAACCTCGAATCAGTCGGAGGACCCAGTGGTGCATGGACACGTGGTTCCATGTCCCCGAGTCACGCCCGGCGAGAGCAACACTGTCGTTCGACGGACAGAGGAGGCCAAAGGGACAAGCCCGAGACGGGTGCGGCGGTGCCATGTTAAATATGCAACAAAATGGATTATACAACAAAATGGACCACCAACTCGGTGATCAAACAAAGGAAACAGATTTAAATAAAATCAATTACAGCATTAACGCCCCAGGAAGGGGTGGAGGACGCCTTAGAACCATGGGCGGATCGTGAATTTGTGGGGCCCTGGGCTGAAACTACTTTGGGGCCCTAATAGCCGTTTTGTCAAAAAACTGTTTTCTATAGGAATGTAGATAAGTATATAGAAAAAAATAGGACAGTAAATTAATCTTATTTATTTATTTTTTTTNAAGCAGTTGCACTTGTAGCACCTAAGGGGTCTTAGGTATTCTTTGATTCGGTTTATAGACCATCCAAGTTTTAGTATTCCTTTTCTCATTATGTTCTTAAAAACACTTGGGTCAGTTTGAATAACCCAGTTGGTACCATTTAAGGATTTTATGGGAAAACAGATTTCAAATTTGTCATCTACCATTTCATTATTTTGGTTGCTTAGCTTTTGCTTTAGCTCTTCTTTTTCCATTTCTTTGTCAACATTGAAGAGTATGACTCTTGGAAATTTTTTTATCGGCAATGAGCACTTCAGTTTGGTCTCTAGACCCTGGTCCACGATTTTTTCGTGAACTTTCTTAACATCTTTCTTGGACACCATTCGAACTACAATCCCGCCTTCCTTGATTGGTCTTATGTTTCTGACACCAATAGCAAGCGCAGCTGGGTCAATGTTCTCTTTTAAGGTTTTTTCAGTCTCTTCGGAGGTGCACGGGACAACCGGACGAACAACCAGCACGTGGTTCAGAGCCACCTTTGAGGCTCCTATTTTGGTTCCGCTCTTCGCAATTTCTGCGTAAGATTTTTGCACTTTCTTCGCACTTTTTTCTACCACTTCTTTGAGAGTTTTTTGTGCCTCGTCGTAGAGCCCTCTTGTATAGGCCAGAACCTCTGATTGACTCACAAAAAGATTATNTGGTTCAAAATTGCAAGGCTACGGAGTTGAACATTAGTAGTCGTAAACCCATGAAATTGGGTCGGCTGTTCAACGACTGTTATAAAATAAAATAAAAAAATTTAGCAAGCCGGGATAGCCTGGTTGGTAGGGCACTGCGTCCATGTTCAAGAGTTCGTGGGTTCGATCCTAGGCCGGCCGAAGTCTTCCCGTGCAGTAAATGGTGACTGGTGCACGTTAAATCTATCGAGTCGCAAAGTCCTCTATGTTCCCATAACAAATCAATACCTCTGAGGGTACTGATCCAGGAGTTTCCTTGTCTTCTGGATCAAAATACAAGGCTGCGGAGTTGCACATTAGAAGTCGTAAACCCAAAATTGGGTCAGCTGTTCAACAATGGATATAAAATATAATTGGGCGAGCCGTGATTGCTCAGGGGATAGAGCGTTAGCCTTTCAATGAGGTGAACTGGGTTCAAATCCCAGCGACGTCTGGTTGTTACAAATTCCGCATCCGGCCTGCACCAACCACAGTGCTGACATAAAATATCCTCAGTGGCATCATGGGTTAGAGTCCCCTTGCCATTAGGTTAACCGTGGGTGGTTTTCGTGATTTTCCGCACCATGTAACGCAAATGCGGGTTAGTTCCATGAAAAAGCAAATTCCTCCTGATACTTGATAAAGGAGTTCCCTTGTCCTCTGGATTGGGTTTAAAATGACAAGGCTACAGGGTTGAACATTAGTCGTCGTAAACCAAAAAAAAAAAAAAAAAAAATGGGNAAAAAAAAAAAAAAAAAAAAAATGGGGCAGACTGTTCAACAACGGTTAAAAAATAAAATTGTTTTGGGCATGTCTTTCGCATAACCCTGTCGATAGAAATAGCAGGGTGTCAAGTCCGAAGATCTCGGTGGCCAAGAGCAGAAGAAAGAAATTTTGAAGCTCCTTCTACATTATCTGTTAAGCTTAGGGACAAATTATTTTTCATTCAATAGTTATAGCACAGCTGTTTGTAATCGTTATATCCATTTCGAATTACCCTGTATTATGAGCTCTTTAAAAAGTTTTGCGAAATTTTTTAGAATTATAGTTTACATTTAAGAACTTGTACAAATTTAGATGCCTTTTTTTTAGTAATAATTTTGATTTGTTAGGTAAAACTTATAACAAGACTTAGCTGTTTTAAGAAGCATGATAAAAAAATGATCTTGATATGTTTTTAAATGATATATATAAATTTCTTCAAAAAATTGATACAAAATAAGCTCAAAAACCATAACGAATGCTACTATTAAGCTGAAAATTTTCTGTTCAAAAAATCATATAAATATCGTTTCACAACTCTAAACTGAAACAAAATGATAGAGTATTTTTATACTGACAAAGCAATGAATGCAAACTTATATTCAATTTGTTGAAAATAAAATAGAAATACGTAGCTATGATACTTCGCTAAAAAAAATTAGAGATATTCAAAAATTGAAAGGTTCAAGAAAAAAAATAAGTTCTCACACTGACTGGACAACATTTATTATTAGCCCTGAGGCAGAATTTTTTCGAGCTACCTGAGACAAAACTTTCTAGCACTAATATCTTACTGCAAGATATTTTTAAACAAACATATATGTTACTAATATAAAATAACAACAGCAGATTACAGAAAAAAAATATTGTTATATATATATATATATATGTGTAATAAGCGAGACAACCTCTATGTTATCCCGCCAGATGTCGCTCGTCTGAACGAAAGGCATAGAACTTTCTTGATGTAAATGAAGAGAGTCAGTTGATAATGTTTTCTTAGTGAAACGGGTAACCTTAGTGGTTAAGAGTCTAGATGACTATATTATTAGTTAATTGAAGTTTGTTTCTGCGTGAAACTTGGAACCTGTGTGGTTCGATCCTGTGTAACTAAATGTTTCTGTGTGAAACTGGGAACCTGTGGGGTTTGATCTTAAATGTTTAAGAGTCTGTGTGACTCATGTTATCATTAAAGAATAAGCATAATCATTAAATGTCTTGATTGACTTTATTAATGGTAACCAAGGCATTTACATATATATATATATAGATATAACTGAACATGTAATAATTTTTTATTCTGATATTATGGGTGATATTCTCATATTTTTTTGGGGGGGGAGGGGGCACACATTAATTATTTTCTTGTTCTCATTTTGTAAATAATCACAATAAAAAATTATGAAATCCGAAGTAGTAATAGCCGATGAAAAGATCGACGACGGAATCACGCGAATCGGACTCCTCAAATGCGTGTTTCGTTTCGATATTAGGTTGCTGTAATAAATAATGCAGTATGAAAAAAACATTGAATTTAAAAACTATGGAGAAATCAATAGCAATAGCTGCCAAACATTCCATAGAACTATCGCCTTAAAAAAAAAAAAAACTCCAATGCATGATTCGAATATTTCATATTGTTTTAAATATATGAGAATAATTAAAATCCACATGAAAATCAATATCAATAACTGCCGAAATTACAATTCAAACATTAAATCGATTTACGATACTATCGGCATAAATTGAGCGCGTCAAGTAGTGATTATTTAAACGCATATTTCAAATATTACATGCAAATTTCTGTATAAAAGAAAAGAAAATTTTTTTAAAACTTTTTAAAAGAAAAATTCTTTTTGCAAGAACTCGGTAACGTTTTGCGACAATGACACCGTGTCGCACGATTCTGCCATGAGGATTATTAGTTGTTTTTAATAATATTATCTTAATAACTATAAAATGTATGCACTATAAATGTAACTATAAAGTGTAACTATAAATGTACTGTTTAAAATGTATACAGAAACATCAAATATTGTACAAATAAAGAGAAATGATGACCTTGATGAATGAGTTGATAGAAGGCGTGCTGCCCATTTGTGCCTGGTTCCCCCCACACAATGGGTCCTGTGGTGTAAGTCACTGGCTTCCCACAGCGTGTCACATACTTTCCATTTGATTCCATATCCCCTTGTTGAAAGTAAGCTGCAAATCTATGCATATACTGGAAAGAAAAAAGACATTTATATTTTTTAACAATTTCATTGAAAACATAATTTCAAAAAAAAATGGTAATAACAATAGTCTGTTTTTGCTTTTACCAAAAAACAGGAAAAGCATTTTCAGGAGACAAAAAATTATAAAAATAGTCAAATATTTTGAGAAAATCAAATATTTTGGAAATAACCTAGTTGAGATTTTCCTCCCTCGACTACTGTGGTTCTTGTTCTTCTTCTTTCGTGTTTTATTTCAATTTTTGTGGGCAACTTTGCATTTTCAGTTTCAAATACGTTACATTTTCCTCACTCATGTGTGGTAAATCTTGAGAATAGGCACTTATTTTCAAGCAATCAAAACAAGTTGACTTCGTTTTTAAAGAAAATGAAATTTTCTTATAGTATCAAGTATTATTTGTGATTGTTGAGAACAAAATACATTATTTTACAAGATTCATTTTACTTGCAAAAACTGTCTCCATTGATGTTTGTCACCGGATTGATTTTCATATCCTGCCTAGGTACGTATTTCACAAACTACTTTTCCTTCTTCAGTATCCATATTTGTATTGAAATCACCGTCAGGACAGTCATTAGACGTTAATAATAACAATAATATAAAGATACTTTAAATTATTATTGTGTAAATACATTAATTGTAATTGTAATTCATTTACGTTGCACTAGAGCTGCACAATGGGCTATTGGCGACGGTCTGGGAAACATCCCTGAGGATGATCCGAAGACATGCCATTGCCATTTTGATCCTCTGCAGAGGGAATGGCACCCCCGCTTCAGTAGCCCGACGTCCTGCACGCAAAGTCGAGCACTTTGCGGTAGAACATTTTAATGAGGACCCACACCGCACACCCTCGGTCCCTATGCAGACTGATCCAAGTGGTCACTCACCCGCACACTGACCACAGCCAGTGATGCTTGACTTCGGTGATCTACTGGGAACTGTGTCTTAACGATCAGTCCACTGCAGGACGTAAATAGATTAAAAATGCCTGCCAGTGAAAATTAAAATAAAAACAGCAGCGGTCGCCATAGCAATGCATGCAATGACGACGCATGCGCACTGTTTACTATTACTGTTGAACACAGTTGAAAAAGTGTGTGGACGCCATCAAATCCAAACTAAGACCCATTTTGTCAATGGGTAAAACTTTTAAAAGGAAATATTACCTGGTCATAAGGGAGTAAAGCATGGCTCTCGGCTCCATAAAAGTTATGATACCAAACTCCTAATACAGCTAAAATTACAGGAACCTAAATAAAAATGTAAGTACATGAAAATGAGAACACACAATTTGGCACAATAAAAGAAGAGAATAATAATCATTACATTTTTTTCTAAGGGTGTGGTCAAGAAATGTTGATCCATAAAAAAAGCACCAGTAAGAAGTTCTTCAAAATGATCCATTCCTATTTAAAAATATATATAGCATTTATAGCACATAATATAGAAAATATATATTTATAGTACATTCATTTTCATGCGTATATATTTTATTCCACAACAGGGTTGAGTAGCCAAATCTTTCAACAAAAAATAAGCACTTTTTAGGTACTTTTAAAGCACTCAAAAAATATTTTTAGGCACTATAAACATTGACAAAATGTAAAATAATTTTCAAAGACTTTACATGATTATGATCAAGTAACTAGTTTCTGACAAAGAACTCCTTTCTTGATTATATTACCCATTGTAAAAAGATTGAGAATTTTTTGGTTCGATTTCAGAGGGTGGAAAATGAAATGAAATTGAAAATTTCTAACAAAATGCAGCAGAGTTGCACATGAGAGTGTAAGAATCTCAACGAACCGAAGTCAGTAGACGCACATACGGACTCGCAAGTATTTCATGAAACGTGTAAAATGATTGGCACTTTTATAAGCAATGAACCTATGGTATGCCGAAATGCATTGTGTAAATGTTGGATAGAATAATGAGAAAAACACGCTTTTGCATAATACGTGGTGAAAATCGTCATGGTAAGGGAAAAAAAATCTAATTTTCGAAAAGGAAAATCGAAAGGAGTTCATTTTCGAAAGGAGCACTTTTGAAAAAACACCCAATAAAAAAAGCGTCTTTAAGAGCTTTTTAAAAAAATTTTAAAATAAGCACCGTTAAGCACTTTTTAAAACCACTACACACCATGTACAAGCTTACAATAAATCATTCATTGCAAGTATTACAATATTTTGATACCTTGTTTCAAAGTTATTAGGCCTCTAAATAAATTTATTTGAAGGTTTTTTTCCCCACTACATGGTGTTTAATCCATGAAAAAGTTTTCTTTATTAAAAAAAGTGAAATTTACATGTGCTCAGAGGTAGTATGGACATTGACTCAAAAAAGATTTTTACATGCCTTGCACAGCATGTTATTTTAGGCAATAAGTTAAATGCCCCTAGGAATGCCTGAAAATATTTTTAAATACTTTTCATGTATTTTGAAACAGTTTTTAAGCTTTAGAAGTCATTGTAAGTGGTGGGATAACAATAGAGAAACCGAGAAAAAAATCAGGAGATCAATTTATTTATTTCTATTGCCAGGAACGCATCATTTTTGTAAAACCAGAATGTTTTATGATATTTTTTTAAAAAATAACTTATTTCTCATTTGACGAAATTTCAAAGAATAGACTTTGCAAACTTCTAGTAGTAACAGCAAAATAACCAATGTTAAAGCTAACAGGGTGAGTAGCCAAATATTTCAACGAAAAATAAGCACCTTTTAAGACTTTACATGGACATGACAAAATAACCAGTTTTTGAGAAAGAACTATTTTCTCGATTATATTAGCCATTAAAAAGTGATCAAGAGATTTTTCAGTTCAATTTCAGAAGGTGGAAAATGAAGCCTGAAATTGAGAATATCTAGCAAAATGCAGCAGAGTTGCACATGAGAAGGCTAGAATCTCAGCCAACGCAGCTCAGTAGACGCACATGCGGACTCACAAGTTTTTCATCGCGTAAAATCGCTTGCACTTACAGACGCTACGGACCGACAGTATGTCAAAATGGGCTGTGATTGATTGAATTGTGAAAACATTGAATAGAACAATATGAAAACCACGCTTTTGCATAGTGGCAAAAATCTACAAACTCATTTTATGAAAGGAAATATTAAACATTTTAAAAAAAACCCTAATGAAAAAAGCACCTTTAAGGGCTTTCAAAAAACAAAAAAAGTACCTTTAAGAAATTTTGAAACACGATGCATACCATGAATAAGAAATGGTAAGAAAATTATAGTTCAATTACTATCCATTAATATCAATAAAATTTGTCAGGAATTTAAAATATCTTGAGATACATAGTTTGACTGTAAGGTGACTTTCAAATATCACTTAATGAAGGAGGGCTCTTTTTTTTGCTGTGATTAAGGAGAATAACAACTTTATTAAACGGCAAAGAATAAAATGGGCAGGCCACGTTATCGGAATGGACGAAGACCGTACCACAAAAAGAGTTTTCAATGCCATACTAGTCGGCACACGAAAAAGAGGCAGGCAGAATTTGAGATGGATAGATGGCCTAGAAAAAGACCTTTTGGTCTTAAAAACTAGAAAGCACTAACTCGAAACACTAACAGGAAAAACGTTAGCTTGGAAAAAACTTCTTAAGAAGGCCAAGGCCCACCCTGGGCTGTCAAGTCATTGATGATGAAGGGAAGGAGAGGTAATAGTAATACATAGGTAAGACAGTCAAATTTCACGATTTTCATAATTTTTTTAAATGAAAAATAAACAAAAATATTACAATGATAAGAATTTCAAGTTTGTAATTAAATTCAAGGAATGAAAGAGTTCGAGGCAAAATAATTTTTTAGGAGTTTCAGAGCTCAAGAAATTAAGAGTTTAAGAATTTCGATCACAGAAGGAAAACGCAAAAGATTTCTAAAGAATATTCAACACAAAATTAATTTCAAAAAAATTTAAATTTTGTTCTGTGGAAAATTATGTTTTTTTTAATTTGAATTTAATCCGAAAATTAGATTGATTTGCTTATTTTTGCTGACAAGAGGGAAAATATGTAATATTTGGATAGAAAATCCTTTGGCTAGGCATAAAACCGTGACAGTAAATTTTTTTTAATTTCAAGTTATAGATGGCATTCTAAAATAATAATATCCCTAATTTAGTTACCTAATCATTTTTTAACTTATGATGTGTAGCAAAATGTGAAACAAAAAGAAAAAATATGAACTACTTTTAAAAGATTTTAAGAAAAAGTTGCTACTTTCAACAAAAGTAGATTTTTTACACTTAATTGTAATATATATATATATAAAAATTTAGTGTTTAGAAAACTAATTACAGTCAGATCTCTATTTAACAAAATCACTAAATCCCGATAATAAGTTTGTTACATTGAAAATTCGTTTAATAGAAAATAAAAATAGCAAAACAACATAATAAAAATAGCAATTGATGCAGTTTTATCTTGTAAACTAGTATCTACTATTTATTTTATAAATCTTAACCACAAAAGTAATCTGCATGGAAAGCAAGAGTAGAACAAACCATTATCCAGTGTTACACTATCATGCTACATACATTTTCAATTAAAAAAAGCTGAATTTATGTATAAAATTACAGTTGCATTTATTACAAAAGTAATTTTAAACATACATTACCACATGCGTTCTTAAGTTAAATAGCAACGGATAAAATCCATTAATTTTAACTGAGTTTTTCGTTTGAAATGAAAACAAAAAGGGAAAGGGAATTTACTGCTTTCTCTAAGATAATTTTTAGTTAGATTGTTATTGTTAATTAACGTCGCACTAGAGCTGCACAATGGGCTATTGGCGACGGTCTGGGAAACATCCCGGAGGATGATCCGAAGACATGCCATCACAATTTTGATCCTCTGCAGAAGGGATGGCACCTCTGCTTCGGTAGCCCGACGACCTGCGCGCGAAGTCGAGCACTTTACGGTAGCACAGTTTAACGAGGACCAATACCGCACACCCTCGGTCCCTACGCAGGCTGATCCAAGTGGTCACCCACCCGCACACTGACCGCAGCCAGTGATGCTTGACTTCAGTGAAGATAATTTTTAGAGAAAACAGTAATACATTTCACAAAGCAGTGGCATCGAAAATTAATTCAAGGTCATTTCCCCCATAAAAATGCGTTAATAAGTTTGAAATGTTAAGAAATATTTTGGAAAATTGGGAAAGTGTATCTCAATGAAAAGTTCGTTCAATAGAAAATTCACTTCGCTATTCGGAAGTTATTTTACAAAGAAATTTCCAAAATGTTCCTGGTTCCTCGAAAAAATCCATAAAATAGAGAAATTCGTAAAATGGAAGTTCGTTAAATAGAAGTCCGACTGTATATAAAAAATTATCCTTTTTGCCCCCAACATGACTAAATATGCATGTGGCCCTTCTTTAGTCAATTTGCTGTGCATGCGGCTTTTCTCTCAAAAAGGCTGTGCAACCCTATGTTAAAGCCAATGTACACCCTATCTTTTTCCAAAATATCAATAATAAAATTATGTAAACATATTTTTACCTAAATACAGAGCAATTGATAGACCAATGGCAGACCAAAGAGAATAACGACCACCGACCCACTGAAATAAAAATGAATTTTAATAATTCAATCCTAATTTTAAAAATTAATCCTAATAAAAAATAATAACTAAATTTTAAAAAAAAGGTTATGCTGATGTCATTTTACAACAGATTTACTCACATCCCAGAATCCAAACATATTCTTCTCATCAATTCCAAATTCAGTTACTTTTGCCTAAAAGAAAGTCATTTTTATTTTTCTCAAAGACAAAATGAAAAAGGGTGGAATGCTATTTACAGTTTTAATTTAACTTACTCCATTTGTTGAAAGAGCAACAAAATGCTTTGCTACAGCAGATGGCTAAATGGAAAAATAGAAATGAAAATTATTTTATAATTAAAGAATCAAAGTGTTTAACACTAAAAACATACCAACAACCTATTTCTATCATAGCCGGTCAAATGACCGGACTTTATGTTTCTTGATTGAATGCATGAAATATGGATATTAGGAAGGAAATAAACTAAAAGAACTTTATTATAATTAAACAAAATTGTATATTGTCAATTTTTATGTATTGCGAACACAAAGAATAAGAATTTTTAATTCATTGCTCAACACATTTTTTACATATACAGGGTGTTTACATTGTACATTTTCCGCCAACATATTTATTCTAATTATTATTATTTCTATAATTCTTATAATTGTTCTTATAATCATAAGAATTAGAATTATAATAATTATTCTTATAATTAATATTATTCTTCTAAGAACTTGAGCTGTCTCGATTGTTTCGCCATTTTTCTGGGTAAAAACTAACAGTTAGTTAGAAATAAAGTAAAACTATCAAAATAAAATATAAGCTGTGGTGATTTTTCCTTCTTCGCATTTTGTAAATGCAATCATCACAATAAAAAAAATAATTAAAAATCATGAAATCCATGGAAGTAATTGGGGAAAAAAAGATCGACAGCGAAATCACGAGAATCAGACTGCTCAAATGCGTGTTTCGTTATGAGACTAGGTTGCTGTAATAAAGAATATCAGATAAAAATATCACATTTAAAAATCCCGGCAAAATTAGTAGCAATAACTGCCAAAAATTCCATAGAATTATTGCCTAAAAAAGTAAATACTCAAATGCACGATTCAAATTTTCCATATTGTTTGAAATATATCTGGATATTTAAAATCATTAAAGTAAAATATCAATATCTGCTGAAAATACAACCGAAACATTACATCGATTTACGATACTATCGTCGTAAATTGAGAGTGTCAAAAAGTGATTATCTACATGCATGATTCAAATATTAGGTGTAAATTTCTGTAGAAAAGAAAACTTTTTTTTACTGTAAGCAAACTTTTAGTAAAGTAACTTTTTTTTGCTTTTCAAAAGAAAAATCTTTCTGCAAGAACTCTCTAACATTCTACGACAATGACGACGTGTCGCAGCAATTCTGCCACAGACGAAAAAATTATAATACTGATCAGGGGTCTGTTTCGAAGAAATTTGGGTCCGTTAACGGACCCTTCACAAAATATCTTTTCATAAAAACGGACCCTTCACAAAATAATTCATCTTTTAATCGGACCCTTTACAAGAGACACTGGATAGACATTTGCGTATTATTGTAAATGGGTGGGAAAAATTGACTGATGCTGAGTGTTCAGCTATTTTCAAATCTACTGGCAATCGGCGTATATTGCTCTAATATTTTGTTAATCATGTTTTTCTGCTTTAATTCTAAGGCTAAATTATTTAATCTCATTTCATTTCTATTATTCATCTAAACATCTTTGAAGTCAAAAAAATTTTATAAATTTCAAATGTAGTATTCTAAGAAAATATTTCTATTTCTACAAACATCATGCGTACATTCTCATTGATATTAAATGATAATTTTTTTTGTAAATAAATAATTGAGCAATAGATTATTCATAAAATTAATTGATAAAATATTACGTAAATAAAAATTAAATGTGTTAATTTTTTTTAAAAAAATATAATAAATTTAAGAATTGTTTAAGTTAATTAATGTGTAACACATTAGAAGTGATACATAACTAAGTTGTGCTATTTAAAATATTTTTGTGTATTTGTTTCCATTATTCCTATGAAATGAATATTCTGTGCTGTGTAGTACAGGCTTAATATCAAATATTTGTATGTTGCATCTCTAATTTAGTAGCAGCAATAGCTGTTTATTTTCTTTTATTATAATTTTACAGTGCTGACCATAATCTTGTATCCATTTACAATTTAAAAACTCATTGAAAAAGTATTTTTGCAATAACAGAACCCTATTTGCACAAATTCACAAAACAGGACCCTGGTTGAAAAAAGGTGACTTATTGTTTACTTTATATTCACAGATTACGAGTCACAATTTCACAAAAACTGGACCTTTCACAAATTGTCTAGACAGACCCCTGCTGATTAAATGGTACTCTAATTTATAGCTATTTCAATCAAATGGTTATACTTTTATTTTTGAAATTTTGTTTTACTTACATCTTTTGCAGACTTCAAGAACCAGGATTTTGCTGATTCTGCATTTGTAATGGTTTCTTGAGTTGTGAATGTCTAAAAATAGAATGACCACCATTAGTGATGCTCTAGAAATGTGCAGTATACATAAATATGTATGATACAATTAGTTTTCAAAACAAATTTTTTTAGCTGAAATATAAACAAATCAACTTTCAGAGAAGATAACACAAACCTTGAAATGAGAGGCTTTCCGTTAAATAGATTTTTGTGCTGTATAGATCATATTATCTACTAAACATTGATTCTAAAAATGGATTCTTTGAAATTATTTTAAAATAAAATATACTGAAAAACATAAAACTATGTACTTTACTCAGGGTATCTGCCACATTTTAGATTTTCAAATCCGTGACTTTCTTGACTAATTCTAAGAAATTTTCATGGCTTAACGAAGCTACTACTTTCTCCGACAAAAACACAACAATAAATTTAAAAAAGCATTATAATAACATTAAATTAAATGATGGGTATGACCAAAACTGTTATACTCTGCATCTTCATAATCATTGATTTTAAACTTAAAAAACAGAGTAAAGAAAGAATAGATGCAATAAAATAGCTGAAAAACATACTAAAGCAAGTAACTAAATACTGTCAGATATATGTAGTTATTTAAAACTGCTTTTATTTCTTCTTTAAAGTAAGTGCAATATAAAAAGCCTAAACTAAAATTTTAAATTGATAAAAAAAAATAATAAATAACTAAAAACAAATTCTGAAATCACAGAAGTTTGAAAGATAATTTGCTCCAGAAATTATGTTCTTTCTTTCTTTTTTTGAAAGAACACCATAATTTTTAACGAACACAATAAAAACATTTTGTATTTTAATCAAATATGACTGTGAGTGGGGATTTTATTACAAATTCAGATATTCGGAACACCATGAAATTGGGGTGAAAGGGGATAAATTCCAGTTTAAATTTTTCGGCGACCTAAATTCATAACTTTTCATGTTTTTTTTTTTAAAAAATAGTTAAAATCATGACATTTCATGACAAATTTTGTTCAATACTGAAATTCATGACTTTCCAGTTGCGGATACCCTGTCTTAGGCATGCTGATTAAAACACAAAGGTGGGGACTTTTAAAACAAAATTATGTTATTTAGAAAAATAGATTGGAGCGTAAAATATAGTTGCTGCCCACTAGTTGGTATTACTTATGAAAAGAAGATAAAGGAGCAACTACTAGCCCATAATGAAGGAAATGATGGAAAAAAAATGGCAATGAATGCAAATGTTTATACCATTTTAAAGTACTTAATTTTAAACAAAATACAAAGTTTGAACAAAATACTTCTTGGGTTAACAAATTTTAAATAAGTCGTACATTTAAAACTTGATTTCTTGAGAACCATTCTACCAATTACATTTAAATTTTGTAATACAATTCAACGTAATACAATTCAAATCCCCTTCATTAGATAAGATAAATCATAATAACTATTATTTAGCAAGGAACCATGGTTGAATAAAGGAATTTCATAATTGTGTACAAAAACTTTTTGATTCACTTAGCAATTTTTAGAAGCATTGTGAAATATGCAAAAAGTGAAATTAACTTGCTGTGCTGTATAAATTATTGGAATATTTTCTTCCGTTTCTTTCCTTACCAGATCAAAACTCTCATTGTAGACAAGATTTCAAAAACTTTTTGAGATAAGAATTCTTTAACGATTTTCTAATACGGTAAAACCTCGCAAATATTCTTGGGACCCAATAAATACATTGCTGTAGGGGGATGTATTGTTATATCGAGGGCTTACATACTTTACGAACGCAGTAAGATTTTTTAAAAAAATATTAGTGTCATATATGTATCAACTATAAATGTATATATTATATAAAAAAATTAATTTGCAGAGTTAAATATTAAATAAATAAAATAAGATAGCAGACATACCTAAAAATAGCTTTTATTGAAAAAAATCCGATATTTTTGTTTATTTATTCATTTTTCTGACTGTTAAGTCAATCAACTAAGCATGCATTGCATTCAATGTAAGAAAATGATTTTTGTTTGTGAATGGTGCTCTCCACCCACCCTCTATGGAAAAACATCTCTTTCATGTGATGCTTGTGGTCATTTGTGACTAGTGATCAGCTTTTAACATAAGGAATCATATAGGAATTCTAAGAATGGAAGCTCTTGGGATGGTCAGCAGTGAGTCTTATCTTGTCAGAAAAATAAATGGAAAAATGGCAAAAGATAACAAAATAAGTTTTTTTTACATTTTGAAAACCAATAATAAATAGAGAAAATAAGCTTGAAATTTGGAGAAAAAAATTATTTTACAGGGGTTTATTGCTCCAGAGAATATCGTAATATGGAGAAGAGGATAACATTAATTCATATGCAAGTTTGACCATGAAACATTATCGTAATAGAGGGAGTTATTGTTGTATCAGATATCATAGTAGCGGGAGTTCACTGTATTTCAACAAAAGATACAACCTTCTTGCTTAAGACTAATGTCAAGTAGCTCAACTAAACAAGAAAAAAAATCATAAAATGAAAAAAAAATTGAGATAGTACATCTTTTCTGCTTAGGCAAAGATTACATTGTTATTTACAAACAAGCAAGAACAACTTATTGATCAGGTTGATTAAAAAAAAATTTCTGACATGACTAAATTTTTCTATTCATATAGTTTCTTATTTGAAGTTCTTCACTTCAAGTTTGAAAAGTCAAGTAATGGGTACACAAAATAACCATAGTTGAGTATGAAAGAAAATATTGTTACAGTTACAATTTCAAAGACGTGGGAAATTTTATTTTTGTTCTTAATTGTAAAATAATTAAAGAAGTATTGTAAAATTAAATGAGAACAACTGTGTAATGACTTAGTATATGATACTCATATATAAGTAATAAAACTTCAGAAAAAAGATTTCAGGAATTACCTTTGAANTACTTCTTCATCGGCGCTAAATTTCTTTCCAGCGAGCATTCTCTTGAGGTCTGAGAACAGGAAAAAGTCGCCGGGGACCAGATCTGGAGAATATTGTGGATGCGGAAGCAATTCGAAGACCAATTAATATAATTTTGCCATCGTTTTCATTGACTTGTGACACGGTGCATTGTCTTGATGAAACAGCACTTTCTTCTTCTTCAAATAGGGCTGTTTTTCTGCGATTTCGTAGTTCAAGCGCTCCAATAATGCTATGTAATAGTCGATGTTGATGGTTGTTCCTTTTTCAAGATAGTCAATGAATATTAACCATGAGCATTCCAAAATACTGATGCCATAACTTTGCCTGCTGACTTTTGCATCCTTCCAAAGCTTTGGAGTTGGTTCTTCTCAAGCAGTTCACTCACTGATGGCGATTGGACTCCGATGTGAAATTATGGAGCCATGTTTCACCCATTGTCATATATCGACACATAAATTCAGATTTATTATGATTAAACAGCTTCAAACACAGCTCAGAATCATCAATTCTTTGCTGTTTTTGGTCAATTGTGAGCTCGTGCGGCACCCACTTTACCTAGAGCTTTCTCGTACCCAAATATTCATTCACGATATGTCTAACACTTTCCTTTGATATCTTCAGAGTCTCAGATATTTTGATCAACTTCACTTTACGGTAATCTAAAATTATTTTGTGGACTTTTTTGATATTTTCGTCGCTAACAGCCTTTTTGGGGAGTCTATGGAAAAAATAATGTTGAAATTTGGAAGAAAAAAAATTGTTTTACAGGGGTTTATTGTTTCAGAGAATATCGTAATATCGAGAGGAGGATAACATTAATTCATATGCAAGTTCGTCCGGACCACGAAACATTACTGTAATAGAGGGAGTTATTGCTGTATCAGATAACATAGTAGCGAGAGTTAACTATATTTCTAAAAAGGATACAACCATCTTGCTTAAGACGAATGTCAAGTAGCTCAACTAAACAAGAAAAAAAATCATAAAATGAAAAAATAATTGAGATACATCTTTTCTGCTTAGGCAAAGATTACATTGTTATTTACAAACAAGCAAGAACAACTTATTGGTTAGGTTGATTAAAAAAAATTTTCTGACATGACTAAATTTTTCTATTCATATAGTTTCTTATTTGAAGATCTTCACTTCAAGTTTGAAAAGTCAAGTAATGGGTACACAAAATAACCATAGTTGAGTATGAAAGAAAATATTGTTACAGTTACAATTTCAAAGACCTGGAAAATTTTATTTTTGTTCTTAATTGTAAAATAATTAAAGAAGTATTGTAAAATTAAATGAGAGCAACTGTGTAATGACTTAGTATATGATACTCATATATAAGTAATAAAACTTCAGAAAAAAGATTTCAGGAATTACCTTTGAAGCTATAATAAATAATGTTGTTTCTGGATTGAGTTTTTTCAAAGTTTCAGCAAGATGGGTGCCATCAATATTTGATACAAAATGAGCATTGGGTCCTTTTGTGTGGTATGCCTTCAGAGCTTCTGTAACCATCAAAGGCCCCTATTCACAAATATAAAATAAGTAACATGAAAAAAAGGTACAATACAGAACCTCTTATCTGTAAACCAGAAAACCGGAACGAAATTCCTTAAATTTTCCCCCCATTTCTAAAAAAAAAAAAAGGAAGAAAGTATATATTTCTGTATATATCTTTAATTTAGTTTTTTTCTTTCCTTTTTATCTTATTACACTTATGTATTATGCGTGATTTTCTCGTTTTTTCTTCTTTCTAAAACTATTCCTAAATAATATTTATTAAGTTAGGTTTGATAAACAATAAAAGAAAGCCGTTTTGTAGTGAATCAGAAAACCGGAAAAATCAGGACTTAGCAAAATCAGGAAAACAAATCCGGAATAGCGATGGTCCCGATCGGTTCTCTACTGTATTTCAAGACAAAAATGAGTTACTAATTACCAAAAGTTCTTTTGAATTCCCCCAATTTCCATACTTTACCGTAAAATGACCGGACACAAGGCAGTAACTAGACAAGAGACTTTTCTCCAAAGTCTGCTAATTTCTTGTCCTTAACATTTTCGTTAGATATAAAGTTTTTTAATGCTTAATAAAAAATAAAATAAAAATCAAATTTTTAATTTTATAGAGTCTTATTACAAAAATCAAGAATCATTTCACTAAAATTTGAAATTTTCTTATTACATTAAAATTTTTTTAAATTTTAGTGAAATGATAAAGATTTTCACTAAAATTCGAAAAAATTTTAATGTTTAAGACTTTACTTATAATAGTAAAATCTTAAGCATTAAAATTTTTTCTCTAAGGTCTGCTAATTTCTTATCCTTAACATTTCCCTTAATTATATAATTTTTTTATGCTTAATAAAAAAAAATTTCAAATTTTTAATTTTATAGTCTTATTACAAAAGTCAGAGATGTAAGAGCGATGAGAGGTGCCGACGCTGGATCAGATCACTACTTGATTCTAGCAATATTAAAAATAAAATTAAGAAAATCATCAAAGAAGACGGGACATAAAACAATAAGCTATGACATTGCTAAGTTAAAAGCCAAAGAGTGCAGACAAGAATTTTCAATCGAGTTGAAAAACAGATTTGAGCTGTTAAAGGAAGAAGAAAATCATGGCAACACTAAGCAATCAGAAAATGAGGTAAAAGAAAAAGTTGAAGAGACTTGGGAACATATCAAAAACATTTATTGCGACGTAGCAGAAAAAGTGTTGGGTAAAAAGAAAGGAAAGAAAAGCAAAGAATGGATTACGGGTGAAACATTAATACTAATTGAAAGCAGAAGGAAAAAGAAAATACAGATGGAAACTACAAAGTCTGAAAGATTATTTAATCGGTATAGACAGCAGTATAGTCAAATTGATAGAGAAGTAAAAAAGTCAGCCAGAAAAGACAAAAGGAAATATTTCACAGACCTTGCCAATGAGGCTCAAGATGCAGCGCAAAAAGGACAAATAAGTACTTTCTATCAGAAAGTGAAACAAATAAAAGGAAATAAACGAAATTCGCAATGTGCAGTACGAGACAAAAACAATAAGTTACTTACTACGGATAAGAGGATCGAAGAAAGATGGAGAGAATATTTTGAAGATACGCTTAACGCACACCATGTTGAAAATTCTGAGCAACTCCCAAATGTTACATTAAATGTAGCATCTACTGTAGATTTTTCTTTGGAAGATATCTCGCTGGATGAGGTACAGAGTGCCCTGAGGGCCACAAAACCAAAGAAGGCTGCAGGGAGAGACGGAATCGTGGCAGAGATGCTTAAGGCAGATTTTGAAACCGCTACAAGACAGTTGCAAAAGCTCTTCAATGAAATCTGGAGAAATGAAAGAATACCAGAACAATGGAAAGAAGCAGTAATAGTGAAAATTCCCAAGAAAGGCGATCTAACAAAATGCGAAAATTGGAGGGGCATTAGCCTACTTTCCATACCAGGAAAAATATTTGGAAGAATAGTTTTGAATAGACTAAAACATGAAATTTATGGAATTTTAAGAGAAGAACAGGCAGGTTTCCGCAGTGGAAGTGGAACAATGCAGCAAATCTTCACACTTAGAAATATCATTGAGCAAAGCTTAGAATTTAACACCTCTTTATATTTAAACTTTATTGATTTCAGTAAAGCCTTTGATTCAGTTAAGAGAGAGAAATTATGGGAAATTTTATCACTTTATAATATACCAGAAAAATATATTAACATAATCAAAGATATGTATGATAACAGCAAAGCATGTATAGAAGTAAATGGAGAATTAACTGAATTCTTTTTAGTAAAAACTGGCGTGAGACAGGGATGTGTTTTATCGGGATTTTTATTTATACTGGTGATAGACTGGATTATGCGAAACAGCTTGAAAGATGAAAAAAGAGGAATAAGGTGGAATTTCACAACTACTTTAGAAGACCTTGATTTTGCTGATGACATCGTACTTATTTCATCCAAATGTACAGACCTTCAACTTAAAACAGACAAATTCAACAAATATTCAAATAGTGTAGGTTTATTCATGAACAAGAAGAAAACTAAAGTAATGAGAATAAATCAAAAGAAAAATGACAAAATTAAAATCGAAAATCACGAAATAGATGACATAGAGTCATTTAGCTATTTAGGTTCTATTGTAGATAAAAAAGGTGGAAGTAGTGAAGATATTAGACAGAGAATAATCAAAGCAAGAACATGTTTTAAGGGATTACATAAATTTTGGAGAGAGTCAAATATTGAAATAAAGACAAAAATAGTTGTTTACAAAGCTATTGTTAGAGCAGTACTATTATATGGCGCAGAAACCTGGAAACAGACTAAGATCGAAATACAAAAATTAGAAACCTTTCAAAACAAATGTTTAAGATTTATTTTTAAAATTTTCTGGCCTTACAAAGTATCAAATCAAAATCTATTAAAGAAAGCTAAAATAAAAACAATCGAAGATGAAATTAAAAAACGAAGATGGAGCTGGCTCGGACATATCCTTAGAATGCCCAAAGAAAAAATTACATCTGTTGCGCTTACATGGGCCCCTGATGGTAAAAGAACAAGAGGAAGACCCAGACTTATCATCCAGCGCATGTTTTTGGGCGAATTCAAAGAATGTAGAATATCTGGCTGGGAGGAAGCAAGATCTATTGCTAGAGACAGGAGGCATTGGAGGGATATGTTAGAGGCCTTAAGTGCCCAAAGGCACTTAGAGGATAAGTAAGTAAGTACAAAAGTCAAGACACTTTTTGAGCAAAATAATAGTTTTGCTGCAATATTTTGTACATTAAGCAAATTTTAATTGAATCTATTTTTTTAAAAATAAGATTAAATTTTACTTTAATAGTCTATTGTTTTTGGAGATAATCAAATTTTAGTGAAAATCTTAATCACTATAAATTTCTAATATATAATGATTAAGATTTTCACTAAAATTTGATTGATGAATGATTAAGATTCATGATTAAGATTTTTCAAATTTTATTAAATGAAAATTTTTACTAAAATTCAAAAACATTTTAATGCTCAAGAATTTACTTTTAATAGTAAAATCTTAAGAATAAAAATTTTACTCCAAGGTCTGTTTATTTCTTATCCTTAAAATTTTCTTTAATTATTTTTTCTTTAATTATTTCTTTTAATGCTTAATAAAAAAAAACAATTCAAATTTTTAATTTTATAGAGACTTATTACAAAAGTCAAGACACTTTCTAAGTAAAATAATAGTTTTGCTGCAATATTTTGTGCATTAAGCATATTTTAATTAAATTCATTATTTTATTATTTTTTTTAAAAATAAAATAAAATTTTACTTTTTTTAGCCTATTGCTTTTAGAGACAACCAAATTTTAGTGAAAATCTTAATCAAAACTCAACTCAAATGTAAAAACTAAAGTTACTGTGAACACTATAATCAATAGACATTTTTATATTTGCACTGCTTTGCCGATATCATGTATGTGCTACTTGGGATACATATGTTCTAGAATCAAACCAAACTCATATATTGTCACACCACTATCTCAAGTTGTAAACATCAAACATCACAGGTTATCAATCTCTTATAAAATAAAATGCTAGAGTCACATAAACCATATAATGGTTTTATGTTTATAATTAAAAAAGTAATTTACACTACAAAAAATTAAAAGACAAGAGAAATTTTTCTGTGTTAACAAGTATTAAAGCATCAACATAAACTATTCTAAAAAAAGTTTTGCTAATGAGTATGACAGTTATATTTTTCTGTAATGGTCTAATTGGAGGATTAGTAGTTGTTTTGGAAAAAATAAGAAGTTCTAAAAATCAAACAAATTTCTTTTAGAGTAAGTTTACATGCTGTCTTTAAGTATACAAAATTATCCTAGAAAGCATATGAAACAGCATGGATAGTAAAATCTTACATGCATGGATGGAATGACTATTACTATTTGAAATCATTTCAACTTATGATGCAACAATATTTCTTGAGAGAATTAAATTTAATTCCGAGAAAAAGTTTTTAATTTATTACATACTGAAACTAAAACATATTTTTTTAAAAGAGATAATTCTTTTAATAGTGATATTTTATGACTTATGATACTTAAAACTTATCTTATCTAAGAGGCTTTAAGATTTTTTTAGCTATTTAATTTATCGATCAAAAAGATAATTAGTAAATAATTTGTCAATGCATTTAAACAGTTACATTAATATCCAGTTTAATTAATACTTGCAAGTTATACAACACATACAAAGTAAAATTTATGAATAAACACAAAACAATGAACTGCACTTTAAATACCTGCAATACAGCTAGTTTATAATAATGCTGAAACAAGATTGCCACTCAAATCTGGAAAAAAAATTCTCTGTGTTTTTCCTGTACATATTATACACAAGATATAATATGTATGTATTATAGACAAGAGCTATATTGGGAAAACTATACTACTAGTTATAATTGCTGAAAAAAAGGAACAGCAGAACGTACTTAAAACAAATAATGTTATAGTAAATGAACTAGTTTAATATAGCTGGAATATCATCCTTAAATATTCTATAGATTACACTTTGGTTACCGTTTTTTAAGAGACGAAAAAAAGAAATAAAATTCCCTGTATTTTAGTAGTTTCTAAAGAAAAACTCAAAATTCCCTGTTATTCTTGGTAATTTTTTAAAATTCCCTGTATTTTCCAGATTTTCCCTATTCTTCCTGTGGAGTGGCAACCCTGTGAAAACTTGTCATTAAAATTATTTGACTGAATTTCTATAGAAAATGAATTTCTATGAAAAAAAAATATTCAGTTGCAATTACAGTAGGAAACCGATTATCCGGAACGTTCGAGACCATCGCTATTCCGGATAACTGATTTTTCCGTTTTTCTGAATCGCTACAAAAAGACGTTTTTTTATTGTTAAACCCAATTAAAAAAAAAAATATTTGGAAACAATCTTAAAATGATGGTAAGGTAAACATCTTTTAAAAAAGAAAGAAAAATCGTAAAATCTTATGAGGAAAAAAAAGTTTTTTTTTAAAAATGGCGAGAAAATTTATCGAATTTCGTTCTGGATTTTTGGTTTTCCGGTTTTCTGATTTCCGGATAACGGGTTCTGTACTGTACATATAAAAGCATACTGATTTTTTTTTTGCTTGTTGAAGAAGATATAAAAATTTCTTTTATTTACCAAATCTGATCCACCGATACCAATGTTGACCACATCTGTTATTGCTTTACCAGTGTAACCCTTCCATTGTCCACTTCTAACACTCTCTGAAAACTCTCTCATATGATTTAAAACAGCATTCACTTCAGGCATAACCTTAAATTAAAAATTTTTTTTGCTCAATTCAGACAACAAACAAATTTTTACTTTTACAAAGAAAAAAAAAGAAAAGTTATTATAGCATTCCCATCATTTTGAAAGTTCATATTTGCAGACTTTTAAAAGTAAAATCATTTACACTCATTGGAACTTATTTACATTTATTCAAATGAATGGCTTGTTTGAATTGGAGTCCAATTTCAAACAATTCATTAATTCAAAAAATTTTTCTCACAAATTTTAAAATTTTCTTAAACTTTGCAAATACAACATTTGTAAATTGATAAAATTGCCCAAAAAGAAAGAAAGAAATGATATGACTAATGTCCAAACTAATGTACTATATAATTACTAATTATGTTGATAAAGCTATAGCTGAATTTTTATTTTTATTTTTTCTTCTAATATCAGACTGAACAACATCAAAACAACTCGACTTGATACTTAAAAGACCAAAATAAAATAACAGAAACAGTTCTTGTAACGTAATAAGTTCTCTTGAAAAGAATTCAAGCGCAGGCTGAATAAAAATATCTTTCTTGCAGTTAATAAGAAAATATTATGCTAAAAATATAGTGTGCAAATCAAACTTATGCAAAATAAATTAAACAAAATAAGTTTTTCATTTAAAAATGTAAGAATTAAAAAAAAACTTATTGGATTGTGTAGATAATCAACAAAAAAAAAAGTTCATGGCATTAGTCAATGACCATCTTTTTGTGTTACTGGTTTCAAACACATTGATTCGACTAAAAAACTTGTTTTTAAACTCATCTATACTCATTTCATGATGTTTGAACGTGACGATATAATATTTAATGTGGATAGGAAACAAATCAAAATCCTTTATATGAAGCAATTATAGTATTTATTGTGCTTTAAAATCTAACGTTGGTGTAATTAGATACAACCCAGTTAAAAATAAACACACACAAGGATATTGTTGATATCAAATTGATTAATTTGTCTAAAGCTTTTGTAAAAAAAAAAAAAAAAAAAAAANTATTAAACTACTATAATTTTGTTGAATAAAGAGATTTTTTGATATTTATGTAGTTTTTAAAAAAAAAATCTGAAGCAAACTTGGCATTCAATTGTTTCTTTTTTAAATCTGGCATATAAGCACAATTCATTTTTAAAGAAAGAACATCAAAGTTAGCAACAGGAAGAAATTGAAGATCAAGCATAAAGAAAAAAGTATATTGTTTTAAGCAATGCATACTGTTATTAAAAAAAAATTTATCAAAGACATAGAACTTCTATTCAAAACTAATAAATTTAATTTATTCTTTTATTGTCAATTGTTTGTTTTCTCCATAGAAAGTATAACATAAAAGTTTTAAAAAAAACTTGTAGATAAAAAAATATATATAAATCAGTGTTAAGGACTATTTGTTACAGAACAGAATGGTCAATAAAATAACTTCCAAATTTTATTCGAGTGACAATGATCGTAGAAGTATCTCAATAGTGGGATTAGGGTTCTCTCCCTTTTTGTATGTATATACTAGGGGTGCACAACCTTTTTGAGTGAAGGGCCACTTGCACAGCAGGTAGATTAGCGAAGGGTCGCACACATATTTAGTCATGTTAGCGGCAAATATGATGAATTTTATCTAAATGTTAGTGTTCTAAGTACTTATTATTTTTATGAGTAAACTTAATAACATATCAGCAAAAAATTAAAGGCTTTTAATCATTTGAATTTATTTAAAACTAAAAGAAACAGATACTTTTTTCAAAAAACTTTTTACATTTTTCTCGATAATTAATTTATCAAATATATATAGGTATACATAAATATTAGGGGGGAAATAAATTCGAACCAAAAAGAAGCATACAGAATAAAAGTGCAAAAAATATAGGCCACTTAGAGTAATATAAATTTGAATTAACTATTTTAATTTAAGAAAATTTATATTGTTTAAACAAAAAACAAACTAAAAGAATTTTTTCGTTGCGCTCAGAAGTTCCAGCGGGCCACACATCAACAGTTGATGGGTCGCATTTGGCCCGCGGGCCGCAGGNAATATATATAGTGGACCATCAAGGGACCGAAAATTCGGTTCACTACCGTTCTGCAAACAATTTTAATTAATCTTTCCAAGCTCTCCCCTTTTATTACCCATTATTTAAATAAATGACCAATAAAATGAATAGAATTGACTGAAAAATAATATGTAGTAACAAAAATGTGTTACATTTTATTTTTTATTACTCTTCGCCTTGCATACAAAAAAAAATAGTAATCTTTAGCTGATGCGCAATCCTCAACATCAGATATGGAAACTCTTCCAGACTCTCTCATAATTTTTCCTGAATTTATGTTATTCCGGGTTTTAAACCTTTAAACCATTCAAGCACATAAAAGTAATCTCACCAAATCACTTAACAAGTTCATCGTCTTTGATTTCAAGCATTTGTCCAGATTACGGCTTCTTTGAATGCTGAACCAACTTAATAATGCTATTCAATAAAGAAGCAAAAAAGAAAAATGCTTATTGCTATATTCCATGCCGTAGATGGTTTTAAAAACCGGTATACATATTTATTTTGAAATAGAAACTTCAAAATTATTACAAAAAACTAAAGAAAACAAATCAGCCGAAGACAGAAAAAAGTTTATAATATCTAACGTTTTCTCTTGTTTTGGTTCACTATATCCACAAAAAATAACATTATACGTGTGTAGCAAGGCACGGGAGCGAACATTTCTTTCACTATATCCGGGACTTCACTATAGCAAGTTTTGACTGTAACACAGAGATCTCCCTAAGAATGAAAAAAGGACAAGGTGGCTCCCCTCTGAAAAGGGCAGTCTGAGTTTTGAAAGGGTAACACTGTAAAAATTTGAAAAACTGTAATAACTTAAGACTGTAAAAATTTATCAAAACATCCTATTATGTACAAACTGAATTTTATCCTCAAAAATTTTTAAACTATCTTATGAGTAAAATTCAAAAAGTAATTCTCTCTCATTATCAGATTAAGAGAAAAATTTGTGAATTGTAAAAATAATTACAGGCATACTAAAAGGCAATCTGCATGCTTTTTTTTTAAAGAAAAGTAAACTAAGAAAATGATAAATTTATAAATAACTTCAAAGCTTTTTTTCTATAATTTAAACTGAAAATTATGAGCACATAAACCTTTAAAAGGTAAATTATTTTTTATAAAAAAAAGGAAGTATTTGTTTATTGTAATTTATCATAGAACTTTAACCGGTTAAGAGTTATCCCAACAAAGTAAATATTTGTAATAGCAATCAGAATTAAACCTATAAACACAGATAATTTGACCAGTGTGTAATTGTTATTTAAAAAGTGAATTAATTTTTTTCAAAATGGAATATGAATAAAACAAAAGCAATCTTTTTAAGAAATGGTGGTTTATTTTTACAAAAAGGGTGCATTTCATGGGATCAAAGGGAAGGCTGGGCAGTTGTCTTTACAGTTTTTTTACATCAAACTTACGTTGAAATTAAATTTTACATCAAATTGTGTTGACTCAAGGTTTGTAATTAAAATAATAAATAAAATATCTACTCAGTATTCTAAGGTGATATTAATATTAAACTTTTCCTGCTATTGCTAAAATGAACCCTTCACCTCTTTGGTGAAAAATATTTGAGTTTTTTTATAAGAACCGAAAATTAAATAAGAATTTTAAAAAACAATTTTTTTTAAGAGAATTGCATTGGTAATCATGTAAAATGGTCAGAATTAACTATACAAATAGAACCGGCAATAAAACTTGTGCAACCCTGTATCAATTCTCCCTCTTAAAACAAACATCTTTTTTGGGATCTTTCAGTTAAATAATTTTTGATTTGAGTGTAACAATCTTTATAATTCCACTGTTTAAAATTGATAACACTCTGACTCAAACTAATAATAAAAAGATGTGCAGTAGAAGATTTACGTAACATGATTCGATTAATTTTAGCACATTAATGTTACAATCCCAAAAGTAAAGCATAATTGATAAGTTTGTTGGATTTTATTTATTATACTTTTAATAATACAATTATTGTAATAAATAACAATAAATCCATAAGTGCATATTTATAAATAATAAATACATAAGTGCGTATTGCTGTATAAAAGTATTAAAATTATTTCAAATTATTAATATTGAGCAGTTCCAGAAATATGCACTTAAGTTTTATAAAATGCAAAGGCTTAAGTTTCAAGGGGAGATTTCCGTATCCTGATCTGTGCCAGATCAATTGCCAAGTCTTGGTAACTTCAGTGGCCCGTGAAAAACTAAAAAATCAACCAACTCAAAATGTATAACTTGTAACCATCCCCTGGCAAATATCTACATGTTTTTTGTTTTTTTTTAAAAAATTGCAAGTTTAAAATCTAGTTGGCACCTTGGCGATTGTAATTGGTACAACAGATCACTGTACTGAAATGTCGCCCGTTTCAAGGTTTGCCCACAAAAGATTTCATGCTGCACATGTAAATGAAGAAAAAACGATTATTGGAGAAACAAAATTTCTTATTCTAAACTGTAACTGGAATAATTTTTAAAAAAATTCTAAAAATGAAGTTTTACCACCTTAAAAACTTTATTGTTTTGCTCTTAATCTTTTGAGTACAGTGCTTTGTTTGTTATTCTGGCCTGCCTATTGTACCAACCATAAGCAAAATGTTAATACTAAGCTCTTAAACTTATTCTGATTATTATACATTCTAGAAACTAATACATAAAAATAAATAACAGCACATCACAAATACATATCAGAATTATCAAGAAATAATAAATCAATTTTCTACATTAAAAAATCATTACAGCTATACTGTTTGAAATTTCAACTTTATGTTATTATTATTATTTTTTTTTGCGGTGCAAAAACTACTAGCCTTACAAATTATCAATTAAGAAGGTGTGTAGAAAAATGTACAGGGAGTACAATGCAATAAAACAATTTATTTTGCTCGACAATTATTAAGAGTTAAACTAGCAGTTCAAAATACCATTGGAATCTGTAATGTTTAAAGATAAATAACTATAATGTTTTTAAAGATAAATTAAAACACAAAATTTAGTAAAATTCCAAAATTAAAAACTTACATCTTTTCCGTCTACTAAAATGGGAAGATTATTTCTGTTTCGTAATGCAATATGTAAAACAGCACGATCTTCAGTAAAATTAATCTTTTCACCCTTAAACATCGCATCTCGGAATTGTTCCACATTTCTTTGCTTTGCCTGAAACAATTGTTTTTAAAAATTAATAATAATGCTTGAATAAACTAAAAGACTCAAAAGTAAATTAAAAGCACGTTACCAAGTCGATTAAAAGCTTGAAAACTTTGTCATCGATCAGATTTTTTGAAAAATCAAGGAGTATTTCTCCAGGGGCAGGAGTAAGTAAAGTAAGGCTAAGAAGGACAAAGAATTAATTTAAAGAATGCTAGACTTTTCAACTAAATTTAAAGCTAACATAGCAACTGACTATAATCTTAAATAAGCTATACAAACCTATATTTATTAAATCTGTCAGGATCGGCAGCAAACAAATCCTTCAAAATAAGGGTTTTCTTATTATTGTCAAAATAACCTTTCAATAGCTTGTATGCTTCAGTTTCGGTTAAAGGTGTTTCAGCCATAATTTACCCTTTCGATTAAAATATTAAAGATATTTAAAATTAGGTTGAAGGGATCAATTTAAAGGAGTCATTCAAATGACCTACCTAAATACCGTCAAGGAAGACAGAAACAGGAACCGGAAATACAGACGATTTCGCAAAGAGGCTTATTTTTCGAAATTTAATTTTGGTTGGTTAACCGTGTGAAGCTAAACGCAGATGGCGCTACAGGTTAAAATTCGTCATAAAACTTCCGGTTTACTACTTCCGACTGATTTTTACGCCGAAACTTGAAAAAACGCACCATCCAATCTTATTATACTTGAGTTTTGAATGCAACACATTCTTTCAATCTAACTTTTAACGAAACAAACAACAAATGAATTCCAAAAAAATTACAAACGGTTCTATTTAACACTATGGCCATATAAGGGATAATATTCAAAACATGGTTAACCTTTCACTTTATTTATGGCTGTGACATTCAGAGCCAGACTAAGACAGGGACATACGGGGCTGCTGCCCTGGGCCCCCTGATTAGAGGCGCCCCCCAAATCGAATAGAAAGTTTATTTTTTGTTTTCTTCTTTAATGAACTTTTTTTTAAAGCGAAATATCAGTTCAGTGCAAAATCAGTCAGAGGCGGGTCGTGGGTGAGAGTCCTCTTGCCGTTAGGCTAATCGGAGGAGGTTCTCGTGGCTTTCCTCCCAATATTTGATCCAGAAGTTCCCTTGTCTTCCGGATTGGGTTCAAAATGACAATTCCATGTAGTTGAACATGAGTAGTTGCAAACCCGAAAATTGGGTCGGCTGTTTAACGACGGTCATAAAATGATATCCGTAAAGTATGTTTTCTTCTCCAGGATAATAAGTGGGGACAGTGAGTGAAACTCATCTGATAAACATGCGCGCATCTATGCCAATTTTTTCCAAGCGTCTGTAGATGGTTTGCTTCGAAACTTTGGTACCGGTGACTGTAGATAGCCGACAGGGGACTGGGTGAACGCCGTGCTCCTTCTTTAGTCAGTTGTTGCTAACTATCTGTCTTCATTCGGTGTTCTAAATCTGGGTTCACGAGTACAGTAACGTCTTCTAACACGTCCATCATCTTAGAATCGTTACTGTAATCTAGAGATGGGGGTAGAGGCGATTGAAAGTTCTTAGCCTATTCCAGCAAACCCATATTCCAGGTGGCCCACCGCGTAAAAAATCATCCACTTGCGGTTTCTTTTGTGTCATAACTATTTGGTTACGGCACTGAGTGACATACAGAATTATTGTGGGTAGTTTTACTTCTTTGTCAGCCATTACTTATGAATCCCTTTTTTACACTTTCTTTATTGTAACGTACTATCGGCGTTATATGGTGGTTTCTTATAATTTGTATATTACTATTACAGTCTCTGGGCAAATTATTAGACGCATTGTACGATTCTATGTAAAATCTTAATTATCAGGTGATACTCCACAACTTTAGTGCTTTTACGCAACTGAAATCGGTTTACACTTCTTTATATTTGAGTATTCATTGGTTGACAATGTAATGCAATACGTTAAAAATAAATGCACACAGGAAGTATATAAAAAATTTCATGAATAAAAACGCATTACATGTGTGCTTAAATATAAAAGTAATGCCTATAAACTCGTGCAGAACATGCAATTATTTAAATACTACAGTGCGTCTAATAAAATTTAGTCTAATTATTATAATATAGTAATATAATATCTGATATAATAAATAGTCTATATTTATATAATATATCGTCTAATTTAACCCTTTGATACACGAACGTAAACAAGTACAAACAGTCAAATAAAACCAATAAAGCTGTATAGAGTATCACCTGATAATTAAGATTTTACATAGAATCTTATAGTGCGTCCAATAATTTGGCCATGTTTTGTTCCGTGTTTTGGCGAATAATTTTACTTTAAGCATATTTTCAAAATAATGACAGAAAGACATTCGGAAGAGCATCGAAGCTGCGATACATGCTTGGGAAATTAAAAATCTTTCTGAAATGAAGATACAATGTTTAAGAGATTTTGCAATTTATATTTTGTTGGAATAACAAGGTAGGTAATTAACTGAAACATTATTCCAAGATAACATCACAGAAACATTGTTAAATTCATATGAATCAAAACTCAATTTCGATGGATGTTGGGGAAACTAAAATTTTTATGAAAGAAATTTTAAAAAAAAATGGAAATACAATGCTTAAGTGCCTCATGCGCCTGTGTTTTTAAAGAATAATAAGTCCCTAATTACTGTATTTCAAACATTATACCAAGACATAATCACATAAATATATTTGCATAAAGAAGTTATGATTCATGTTCGGAAATAAAAACCTCGCTGAGAGGCAAATTTAATGTTTAGTGTGTTGTATGAATTTTTGCTGGGCAGGAATAACCATGAAAAAATCATTTGTGTGTAGGAAAGTAAAAGCAGCGCAATGTTTGAGTACAGATAGTAACATTTAGTTTTTATCTTCCATCTCAACTTTATCAAACATTTTTCTTTTTTGGTAAAAAAAAAAGAAAGAATGTAAATAAGAAGCAGGAATAGTTTGGAGGTAAGGAGAAAGAAGAAGAAAAAAAAAGAACGACGGAGAATGATTTGTTCTCACGAAAACTTCTCCTGCTACTTAAGACTGAGGAAAAAAGATTTTGGGAGAAAAGATTTACTTTCAGCAGAGGTAGAATCGTACTGATAAGTTTCACTTACGCAAGGAAAGAAGAATATACAACTTCATTTCTAATTTTTCCTTCTTTTTTTTTTGTTTAACTTTACGTTATTTTTACTTACCATTCCTTTTTACACCAGCCACTAGTTTCATAAACTAATTCCACGCTACAAACGTAGCTTAATTTTTAATTCATAAAACTTCTGTATAATAAAATGATATTAAATATTTAAATTCTTCCTTGAATGCATTGCACTATGCATACCAACCCTTAAAGGTAAGCAAGTGTTTTTATATCAATTATGGAAAAGAAAATATTTAGATATTCGAGAAAAATTTATTAATACTTTATACTTATTAATAATTATAATACTTGATATTAGAGCCACGATAGCTCAAGGGATAGAGCGTTCGCCTTTCAATGATTCGAACCTGGTTCGAATCCCAGTTGATACGAATTCCACATCCGGCTTGCACCAACCACAGTGCTGACGTGAAATATCCCCAGTGGTAGACGGATCATGGGTTAGAGTCTCATTGCCGTCAGGCTAACAGTGGGAGTTTCTCGTGGTCGTCCTCTCCGTATAACGTAAATGCGGGTGAGCTCTATTAAAAAGTCCTCCTCGAAGGCAAATTTCTTCCAATGCTCGATCCAGGAGTTCCCTTGTCTTCTGGATTGGTTTCAAAGTTAAAAGTTGAACATGAGGAGTCGTAAACCCATAAAATTGGGTCTGTTGTTCAACCACGGTTATTAAAAAAAACAAAATAAAAGTACTTGATTTTAATTATATAATTAAATTAATCGTAAATATGACAATGATAAAAATAATTTTAAATGGTTACAACGTAATACACTAATTTTTCCCGTCCTCAGCTGAAAATGCTTTTGAAATGAGGAAAAATTTCTTTTGTAGAAAAAGTTTCTGTCATTACTAAAACTTTTGATGATAATTAAAGGATTTTATCCTGACAACTACACTAGGTTATAATTGATTTCATAAATTTGTAAAGTTCAATTCATTCTTATGACTCAATTCTCGCAAGAATAGTCTCAATACTTTCTGCAATAATCGCAGTGCAATACATTTGGGCCCCATTCATTGGCCAAGAACGACCGTATGAATAATGCTGAGTTCATTGATGAAATATTGTGTAAAAGATCAACAATTTAGGATAAAATTATCTGTTCTTAATGATTGTATAATTTGTCTTTACCAGTAATGAACTTTTGTAGAAAATACAATGATTTTTCAATTGTTCTCTTGCAACGTTTATGTATAGGAAAAGCCATTAAAGTTTCCGAACAGACGCGTTCAAGAAATATAAATGATCTTACATAGAATGAACTGGATTCGTTTCGATAAATACTTATATGCGGTCTGATGTAAACACATATTCTTACGAATCTTTTATTAAAGTATAGTAAGATGAATTTTTTCTATCACAACTTATTGATATACAGTAGGACTTCTATTTAACGAAATTCCCATTTTGTGAATTTCTCTATTTTCGAGGAACCAAGAGCATTTTGGATGTTTCTTCCTAAAATAACTTCCAAATTGCGAAGTGAATTTTCTATTCAACGAACTTCTCTTTGAGATTCACTTTCCCTATTTTCCAAAAATATTTCGAAACATTTCAAACTTGTTAACGCATTTTATGGGAGAAGTGACCTCGCATTGATTTTCTAAGATGCTTTTAATTTTAGAAACAGCAGTCTCTTTTTGTTTGCCTTTCAAACGAAAAACTCAGACAAAATGAATGGATTTTATCGGTAGCCATTAAATTTATGAGAGCATGTGGTAATGTATGCTTGAAATTACTTTTATGATAAACGCAATACATAAATTCAGCTTTTTTTAATTGAAAATGTATGTAGCATGATAATGGTTTGTTCTACTCTTGCTTTCCATGCAGATTTCTTTTATGGTTAAGATTTATAAAATAAATAGTAGATACTAGATTACAAGATAAAGGCATATCATTTGCTATTTTAATGATGTCTTGTGTTTATGAATTTAAAACCTGTTTTCCGTCATTTAAGTATTTCAAAAGATGATTTCCTATTTCACGAACTTTCCATATTGCGAACTTATTATCGAGATTTAGGGACTTCGTTAAATAGAGGACTTATTTATGGAACTTATTTCATTTACCATTTCGAAATGGTTAATCAGAATTCCTCATTTAAGACTGATTAATCAAGTGCACGTTATGACGAATCGATATGCTTATACGTTTCCTTGAAATACAATGTGCAGATATTAATTTCCAACGACTTATCCAATTAAAATATAAAATCTATTTATCTAATTTTAATATGAAAATGTTAAGCGAAACGCATACCTGATTAATATGTTTCCAAGTAAACCCCATTTGCTGTACTGTAATTCTGTACACAACTGTATAAATTTCACAAATGCCTTTTAAAGTCCTCTTTTAGAAATCTCTACAATTCCAATGTTTTTAAAGTT